GTTGGTTGGGTGGGGGGGTGGTTGAGGCTGAATAATGTTGGGAGGGTCAGGGTTTCGACTTCGAACGCGCACACACGCTATCCCGACCTCCGTCTGCCCGTGCTCCTTCTGCCGTCCCGTTCTCCTTGAGCAGGCACCCACCCACCCACCCAACCAACCACCCAACCAATTAACCAACCAACCAACCCCTAAGCCCTGGCGAACTTGGAGCTCTAGTCCTCCGCCTCCTTGGAGCTCTCGCCTCACTCACTTCCCGTCATGATGGGGAATCCCACCACCACCTGCGATGATTGTCTGACGTCATCAGCTCGTACTCCGACTCCTAAATCACTCATTCCACATCTTTGATTACAAACTCAACACTCGGTACGGCCATATGTATGTAGGTGTACTGCATGTGTTTCAGGCTTTCTCAGGCTTTCCCAGCGCCGCACCTCCTCCCCACCTTTTCCCGTTCCTTTCCTTCCGTTCCATCGCCCCCCGCTCCCCCGCTCCCCCGCCCCGGACCCCCTCGGCCCCCCCTCCCCCCGCCGCCCCGAAACCCGCAGGCAACCTGGGTAACCTGCCGCTGGTGATCGTATCCTCCCTGGCGTCCTCCTCCGCGGAGTTGCTTCACGGCATTCCGGCTGACCGCGCCGAGGACCTGGCCGTGAGCTACGTGGTGGTGGGGCTGCTGGTGCCCGTCATTGCGCACGCAACCATAGGTGGGGGATCCCATTGACGATGTGGGTGGGTGGGATGTGGGTGGGCGGGGTAGAGGGCGGGTTTTGGTTGCCGGAGGGGAGTTGTGCGCGCGCGCGCGTGTGTGTGTGTGTGTGTGTGCATGGAGAAGATGATGAACCTTGGGTTGGGGCCCAGTAGCGGCAGATCCAGATCCAGATCAGCCGCTCCCATTTCCTTCCCCCACCACCACCGCACCTTCCCCACAATGCCCAACCCCCCTTCACACACACACAGGCACGAGCACAGTTTTCTGTCGCCCAATCAGCTCCGGAGTTGTGTTGATGTGTGTGTTTATGTGTGTGTTTATGTGTGTGTTTATGTGTGTGTTTATGTGTGTGTTTATGTGTGTGTTTATGTGTGTGTTTATGTGTGTGTTTATGTGTGTGTTTATGTGTGTGTTTATGTGTGTGTTTATGTGTGTGTTTATGTGTGTTGTGCTCTCGATGGGGTGGGGGAAAACGCTAAGTCTGACACCCGATCACGTGCCCCCTAGGTCACCCCCCTTGTCTTGCACTCCCCCCCCCCAACCCAGGGAACTCTCCGGGCCAAGGGACGCGGGCAGCTGTTGCCGTGTTACCTGCGTCTTGCGTCATCATCACCATCAACACGACTGCCTCCACACTTACCATCCCAGGCTTTTCTGTACACTTTCTGAATACACGCACTCACATACACTCGCACACACACATGCACACACGCACGCTCGGCCTTTCCCGCCGCAGGCTTCAGTATGCTACGGAAACACGATTCCGACCTCAGCTGCGGCCACGACACGCCAGCGCGCGCTGATGACCACTCAGCGGCGGCGGCGCCGCCGCCGGCCGCCGCCGGCGGCGAGCAGTCGACGGCGGCAGCGGATGCCGCCAAGGTGCCGGACAAGTCGCGAGGAGGTGACGGAGGTGGGGATGACGGAGTGGTGGTGATGATGTTGGAAAAGGAAGAGGAGGAGCGCCGACGCCAGAAGCGGCCGCTGCTAGAGGAGCATCGGCGGCAACTAGCCGGAGGGAGCGGATGTGGCGCCGTCATCAACAACAACAACAACAACAGCAGTAGCAGCTGCTGCTGCGATGCGCTGCGGCCAAATGGGTCGTGGGGAAGTGGGCTGGCGGCGGGTGCCGCCGCCGCCGGCGGTGCAGCGACAGCGCCGCAAGCTACAGCACCGGCGGAGGGCGAGGAAGAGCCGTACGGTATTTCCCGCCATTCTCAACAGCAACAGCCGCAGTCGTACACGACGGGTCTGCGGTTGCGACGATCGAGCTCGGACCAGCTAGTTATGGAGCCATCTTCTGCGCCACCGGTCGAGTCGCCATCGTCATCGTCTTTTGTACGACTGCTACAAGGCTGTACGGCAGATTGCCTGCGGCCGGAAGACACTGACCCATTGTTGCGACGGCGATCGCCGCCGCCGCTGCAGCATCCCACCCTACAGGCGCCTGACTCTCCGGACGACCCACCAATGGCGGTCTTTGGAGACTCTTCTGGTCGTGGTGAGCTGGAGCTGGGAGCAAGAATGGGAATGTGCGGAGGAGCAGCGCTGCCGCCATCGTGTACGGAAGTACGGCAGTTGGTAATAAGACAGCCTGCGGACTCGGCGTCGGAGGCGGCGGCGGCGGGGGCGGGGGCAGCGGCGGCGGCGGCAGCAATGGCGCCTGACGCCCTCTCTCCTCCTGCACACAAGACCTCCGCCTGTTGCCCCTGCTCCAGCTCCTGGAGTTCGTCATCTTCCCCCTCCGGCTGCTGCTGCTACTGCCGCTGTCCTCAGCAGCAGCAGCAGCAGCAGCAGCAGCGGACCATTGTCGATCTGGGCGGCAGCCAGCCGCAATTCAGCGGCCGCGGCGGCCGTAATTCCCGCTGGCGGCTGTTGCCGAAAATTGAAGATTGGCCGTGGTGGCAGCGGCCGCGGTCCTGCGGTCAATGCCGCTGTCATGTTCACAAACGGAAAATACCGTTACGGTTACCGTTGCGGTTGCAGTTCGACTGGCGGGCGTTGGGTCGTCACGTGCTCCGTGAGGCCACATCGCCGCCGCTACTGGCAATCTTGTTGTCTGTCCCAGTGGGGTGTGTGAGGCCCTTACAACAGGCACTGTTCAATGGCGGCGGTACGGCGGCGCCGCTGCTGGCATTGCTGACGGACTGTCTGAGTATGTTGGGCGAGTGTACCATTCCCTCCATTTTGTTGCTACTGGGGGCAACGTTAGCCAACGGTAAGCGGTTAGGTGGTTGGGTAGTTGGCTAGTCAGTATACCGGGGAGAGCTGGGGCGAGCAAACGGTGGAAAGGTTCATGTGCTCGACGCCCCGCGTCTGCACACGGATTACCTGTTGTATTTCCGCAGGTCCCGGCGCCGGGCGCGTGCCGTTTCGTGTCATCGGCCTGGTCAACATCACCCGACTGACGCTGTTGCCGCTGCTGGGGCTTGGCGTAGTGATGGGCGCGTACGCGGTGCGGCTCTTTGAGGCACCGGATCCGATCTACCTGGTACGAGAGACACGTCATATATGACTTTGAAAAACAAACAGATCAGGATTGACATGTCAGCTGCTCTTATTTTACACCTCGAATTTTCGGTGTCCTAAATGAAGGCGAAAAATGAAGAAGACGATAAGCTAAGGCGAGAAGTTTCCAAGAAGAAATCTCCTGTCCTTTCCTGGGAATCCAACTTTCAAGTTTTTGTTTTGTATTGTACTATACGAAAGCTTTCCATTAAAATAAAATTATCGTGTGTTCCACTTTCAACCTTGTCTCCCCGGTTTGCAGCTGGTGCTGCTTATTCAGAACACGGCGCCCACCGCCATCATGGTGCACACAATGGCGTCAGTCCATGGTAACCGAGCCGAGGAGGTCTCAGCCATTCTCTTCTGGGGCTACATCAGCGGCATCGCAGTTATCCCTCTATGGCTGACGCTCTTTCTGTACGTCGTTAAGCTGCAGTACAGGTATGGCAATGACGGTGGCGACAGCGCCGGCTATGACAGCACCGGATGACGCATACACGGTACGGTTAGTTCCGCACGTCGCATTAAGCTGCAGGTAACCTTCCTTATGCGTTGCGACACGGATGGGATGTCGGGGTGGGCCGGCAGTGGTGGCGGTGGTGGAGAGGAAGGAGGGTGTTGGTAGCGACGGCCGCACGAAGGGGGAGCCGTTTGCTTTGCTCTCTGGTGGTGCGTCAAACCCAGTTCACGCGTGAAATGTAGCGGCCGCAAAAGCAATCGGAGGAGCAATCTTCAAGAGGCACCTTTGGGAGGTCTTGGAGACTGGTTGGAGACTGGTTTGACCGAGACCACTGTGGCTGGGATCACCAGCTGAAGCAACGGCCGGGGGAATTTTGACTTCTCAAGTGGGGGGGCCCGAGCGGGAATGGCGGGTTGGACGCAGGGCTGGTGTTTTGAGGACAGCATCCATTTCTAGGCGTCTTGGAGTTTCATTATTTTTTTTCCTTTTTCTTAAGTAAACGCGCAGTGGACGGAGGCGAAGATTAGAGTGCAAAGGGAGTGGGAAAGAGAGTTCTTAGAGAAGATGTAGACGAAGAAAGAGGGACGAACTAATGAGGCGAGCTGTGCGGCCATGCGTGCTGCGAGCACATAGCGCTCCTTGCTTCGATTTAATTGACACGCATCGACTGAGGCATTGTAGGTGTTGATTTAGGGTGAACGAATGTTGCGGTAGTCTATATCAGAATTCTTCTCTTTTGCTTATCGGAGCTTCCGCTAAGGAAGCCGGGGCTAGCAAAGCCGTACGAGCAGGTACGATATCTGTATCCGTATATGGTGCTAGGGCCATATTGTAAAGGAGTGTATTGTTTGGTCGTACGATACTAACCATCTGCAGAAAACAAGCTGCCTGTAAGCGTCATGACTTCGTTATGATCGCGCCAGTAGTGTGGCGTATTGACCGAATACTTCCAATACGGTCAGTCCTCGTCCCGTACGGCCAGGCCGTACCCTATCGAGTTTTTGTCCTTCCTTGACACAAACCACAGCCCGCTTCATTTAAATAAGGGCCATGGACGGGACAAGGACGCAGAGCTCCTAGGGCTAGAAAACTTAACATTCATAAGGTGCCGAATTGGGACTCCACGTTTGAAGGATGCGAATCCATCCTGTCGTTTGGCATCCCTGCGCGCTGCCCAATATAAGTTGCGCGAACCCACTTAACAATGATCTCGACAGGATGCATGTGTGCCGTGAAGGAAGACATGTATAAGACAGCTTATACGGCACTTAACAACTCCGCACAAGGAATCCGTACAAACGTGCTATTCGTCTCGTTGCCTTAGGCCATGACCCAAATCGAAGCGGAGGAAGGAAAAGCCGCATCGGGCGCCCTAACCAAACCGCTCGTTGCTTCCCCGCACCACCACACACCACACACTCTCCATCCGCCCTCCTCAGTCCCGTGATCAACCCGTCCGTGCACTCAATGCCCTTCTGCAGAGTTCCCCTCTCTCGCGGCCTCTTTGACCACGGTAGGCAGGCAAGGAGCTTACAGGGAGGAGCTTACATACAAACAGATAGACGAGAAAATCGCACCACCTGACCTCCGCCACGGCTGCTGCTGACGAACGTCCCACAGATACCGCACTTCCCATGACAGTACAGCAGCAGAGATCGCTTTGGGTCGTTGGTTAAACTAGGTCAGATTAGAACATACGATGCCCCTCATGTTTCTTCATGCCACACACACGTTGTGCATTGTGCCACACAACAACGGTTCTTCTAGTCCACCTGTTCCGTGCTGCAGAGCTGCGCGGCGTGGCGCAATGTGTCGACAAAGTATGCCTTTATTTTGGAACGGCACGGCATTGGCGCAGAACGCCACGACCAGCGGTGCAAGCGAGCACCCCCCCCAAAACCCCCGAAATTTTCGGAACTGTGGAGACTTCCGAAACGTGAACCAACGCAACTGACTCTTGAGGACTTACCCCAAGCCCAACTCGGCCCTTGCAAGGTTGGCGTGTTGTGTAACGGAAGGCTTGCGACATGCCGACCCCCGGGAGCCCAGAGAGCAGATGCAAAGATGTGGGTGCTGGTTGCCGCGCTGCGTGGGCCAGGTCTCCCATCACACCCCCGATGCCATATGCAAAACCAGAGCGTTCTGGCCCCCTCGTTCTGCCCTTCCCTTCCCAGCCGACAGCCATGCCGCCTATTCTTTTGCCTACCATGACCTACCACGAAAGAGCAGGCCATGTTGCTCTTGGCGTACAACGAAAGAAGCTGCTCACGAGCTGAGAACAAACAAAAACACTGTCGGAAGCGCCCATGTGAACGTGTTCCTCAACAGTTTTTCAGTAAACGCGTCCCGTCCTGCTTCAACGAAAACGCTACCGGAGCGCCGCCTCTACACCCGCATCGTCGACATACCCTTGTAAAACCACCGCTCCCTCTCCCTACCCCAAGACGCTCGCACGCACACACTCACTGCGCATAACAAACTGTTGCTGCTTCTGCTTCTATTGCGCGGCAAGCTCAGAACCAGGCTCCAACACCCAACTACGACACTACTGCTGCTGCTTCAAATCTCGCGCCTGCAAAGCTCACGTTCCCGAACTATATGTAACCTCACCCGCTGCCCACGTGCCCCAGCCAACGTGCGTCCGAAAGGCTCCGACCGGATGCGGCCCCCACAACGTCCCCCTTCATGTCTCAACGAATTCCCCGTCTGGAGTGAGAGTGAGAGTCCATGCGCCTGTTATTATCGCACTCCGCGAACAAGACGCCGACGCCCACGCCGTGGGCGGGCCGAGGACTCCGGATCGCTCAACTGCCGTGACGCCCATTCGTGAATGCCCTGCAGCACAAACGTGTTCACGTCCAGGCTACTGCCGCCGTTACTTTTGCTAATGCTACTTTTGCTACTGCTATCATGATCAACGCAGTGGACCATTGGCGCCTGCGTGTCGGCCAAATTTGCCGTGCCTACTTCCGAGACCGCACCTGCCGTCCCTGCGGTTAGGTTATCTATCGTAAGTGCTACGTGTGTGGCTGCGGCTGACCCTGCGATGGCGGCAGCAGCGGCGCTGCTGTCTCGCACCCCGTTGTCGTGGCGACGCAATGCTGCCGCCTCAGCTGTTGCTGCTGCAGCTGCTCCCACGTCATTCCCACGGGTATCTAGTGCCATAACCGGCGCTGCGGGCTCGCCTGCCCCGATGCTGCCGCGCCCACTATGCGGCAGCAGCCCCTCCTGCTGCTGCTGCAGCCGCGCCTCGTCTCGCCACAGCGCCAGATCCTGCGCCCACTCCGGCCCGGGGTTGTACCGGAATCGCGCCAGCGCCCACACCACCTTGACTCGCTCCTGCGAGCTCAGATCCTCGCGCATAAACCCCAGACATTCCATGTAGCTCGACAGCCAGCCCGCATCAGGCCGAATGTCCAAAACGGCCAAGGCCCACAGTAGGCGACTGAGCGTCTCTGGGAGATGCCGGCTGCTGTGGGCACGATCCCCATGCCGCCTCTCCCAAGCAGAGCGAGCACGGTGCGGCAGCTTCGGCTCATCTCCCTGCCGGCCGCCAAGACGACTAAGTTGTTGCTGCTTCCCCCCGTCCTGCTGCTGCTGCTGCTGTGCAGCTGTAGCCTCCACTGCAGCAGTAGCAGTACTACCCAGTTCTGCCGCAGTCGCCGCCAGCAGCTCTCCGCAGAGCCGTGACGGCGGCCGGAAGCCCAGTCGTGCCGCGCCGTACGCAGCTGCCGCCATGTGCCGCAAGCCCAGCTCCGGCAGCCCTGCCGCCATCGCTTCCGCCCACCGTGCCATCCATAGCCGGTGCGGCTTGTGCCCCAGGCCCGCCAGCGGTAGCAACAGCGCTGCTACTTGCGGGGGCTCCATCCGAGGAAGGCGGTTGTACAGGTCCGATTCAAGCAGCTCCAGCCAGCTGGTCGTAGGTTCAAACCCCAGCGCCGACACGGCTTCCAGAAGTTGCAGGAGCTCCCGGTCCGAGTGGTCCGGGAGTCGGGCGGCGGCGTTTGCCAGGATGGCTGCCACGTCGCCACGCGGCGCGTCACAACCTAGGATGGCGCTGGCCCAAATGGCGACGGTGCACTGCTGCGTCTCGAGAGATTCCAGACTGCGGGTGCGAGGAACCATGTTGAGCGTGGGGCGCGGGACAAGGGCGAATGTAGGACACTGCGGGCTTGGCATACATGGCCATACCCGGCGCGGTGTGCGGAGGGGGCCCATGTGTAATGATCTGGCAAACGAAAAAACGGAATCATCTAAGAAGGGAGCCATTAACTGAGCAAACGGCAAAGAGATTCCACACGCACGCTCGCAGGCGGCTCTAGCGACAGAGGAAATACATGGGATCTGAGGAGCAACAGAGATGCACGGGGGGACTTTATATATTAGCTTTCGTTGTCTTGAAAGGTATCATCGCCAAGGCTCGTCGCAAGCCCAAGCGCCGCACTGACCCAAGTTCGGTGCCCTCGTACACAATCACGCACGTGCTGTATCCCACACAACTACTCCCCACACGCGGATGCGATGTGCCCCAGGTTCTACACCGCAGCGTCCACGCAACCAGGACAGCCGCAGCTCTAGCCCGGGGCGGGTCGGCTGTTGCCAGCATTGCATGACCTGGGCGCGACGGAGTCGAGACACGCCTGGTCGCCAATGCGGGCGATTTTAGAAATACCCTCCAAGAAGGAATACCCCCCATGTCTGCCGTGATTCATGCGGTGCAGCTCGCAGCGGCGGCTCCCCCCTGTCTCACCTGGCTGCAAGCATATATATACCCAACTATTTTAACTAAGAAACCGAATGCCCCTGTTTCCGTATTGACTGCCGACTCGGCAGACATTCCATTCAGCGGGCCTGGATACGCCCTGCGCTGTAAGCTGGGGCGCCCTGCCCTGCCTTGCGCACTTTACTTCTCCCTACCAGACTCAAACAATCCTTTCACCCGTACCAAACGTCATTCCCGTTTCTTGCTCCCAATATGTCGTTCCCCGTTTCTAGGCCCCAGGAATAAATTTTCTTTATAATAAGAAAAAACTAGCACTTGCGCCACGCCCCAGGTCATTACCTGTTCATGAGCAAACTCCAGACGCGCCAAAACAGCGCCGGGTGCGGCCGGTACCGCATGTTGGCCAGGCTGAGCAGCACCGTGGTCAGGCCCACTGGCGTGAGCTGGCCCGCGCAGCTGCCCACCGCCGCCAACACTGTCGACAGAAAGATGGACGGCGGCCTGTAGCCGACCTCCGCTAGGCTGCACAGAACAGTCGGCAGGTAGGACGCCACCCGCGCCGCGCGCGGTGATGCCGAAACAGGGGCCCATGCTGCTGCCGGTGCTACAGTCGCCACCGATATCGTCGTCGCCATTATCGAGTCGATCGAGTTATCCACCGGCGAGGATGAAAACGACGGGGGCAACAGAGACTCGGGGTTCGTCGAGCTAGTGCTCGCGGCGCCCGGCCCGGTGCCACCGCTTAAACCATCTCCGCGCGTCACGGACGGCCACACGTGCGACGACCCGTGTTCCATCAAGCCAAGCTCCTGCTGATGTTGCTGCTCGTGGTGCTGCTCGGAAGTTGTATGATGGATGTGGTACTGCTGGTGTTGCCCTGGTGGGTACTGCTGCTGTGAAAGCTGCTGCTGACGCATTTTCAGCTGCGCCCGGGCGAGCTCCGCGAGGTCTAGCTGCTGCTGCTGGCCTAGCTGCTCCGCCAGACGCTCCAGAAACCGCGCCGGCAGCGCACCCGACTCAATTACCAGTCCCGTTACCCGCTTCCGGTAAACCCGCAACCAGTCCGCGTGCAGCCGGGCACCCATGTGTACGACACCGTACGCCAGCAGCGCCAGCTCCCGTACGCCGTACGCCTGCATGTGCATCAGGGAATGGTGCAGCACGCCGCCAAGCAGCTCCCGCCCCGGCTGTAGCCCCAGCTTGCCAGCAGCATAGCAAAGATGTGACAGCTCCCCGGGGCCAAAGCCGTGGAGCCGACGACCCACGGCGGAATAGAAATCCTCTAGCCACGCCGGCGGCGGCATGTAGCGAAGCAACATCAGCGCGTACAGTGTGTTCGCGAGGTGCTGCGGGTTGAAGGTGTGAAGTTGGGAACTCGCGCGCGTTAGCATCACCTCCAGCCATTTCTCCGAAGGCCGATGACCAAGCTTGGCCATCGCCCACAGCGTATTAGCCAGCTGGCGTCCTTCAAAATGCGGCAGGTGCGCCACAACGGCGTGCTCAAGCCGCTGCAGGAATATGACCCTTGGGTCGGTGTTTCGGTACTGTTGCAGGTGTTGCGATCGCGGCAGCTGCAGTGATTGCTGCAGGGCACCGGCTTGGGTGTCCTGGTGGTGGGATGGTACAGAGGGCCGGCTGTCGGCCGCGTGGGAGGCCATGTGGAGAGGGAGCGGCAAGGCCCCTCCCGGTTGCCGCAGCTGGTGCTCTTCCTGAGCAACGAGGCGCCGGCTTGATTCAGCCGGTTGCCGCGCTTCGTTTCGGAGGTGCCTGCTCCCATCTTTGGACAAGCGGAAGGGCCCAGCATCAGCGGGAGTGGCTTGTTGGCGTTGGTTTCGGTGCTGTTGAGAGGCGTCTGCTGCTACGTCACCGTCTTCCAGGTGCTGCCACAGGTCGTCGAGACGGCTGCCGGCGCAGAAATCATCGCTTGCGACACCGCCATTGCTGCGGCGGGTACCGTTGCTGCTGCCACCGTTGCTATTAATACTGCTACTGCTGGCATGCAATTGCGCCATGTGGGTCACTACGGCGCTAATGTGGAGGTGGTTCATGGAGGGCAAGTTTTCGTCCACGAGAGCTTGCAGCTGCTGCCAGCTGCGCGCGGCTTTGATTCGACCCATAAGTTCAACCGCTGCCGCATAGTCGAGCTGTGAGGGCGCCGCCGCAGGAGCGGCCGTGGCTGCATCTTGGAGCTGCTGGGGCGTATGCTGCGGAGCTCCGCTGCCTACGTGTGGGCTCCACCTGGGCTGCTGGGAGCTTGCGTTCCAGACGAGCTGCACCTGCGGGACACGAGCGGCGAGGAGTACAACAGCAGGGGTCAGTCAAACATTACAAGAGTGACGCAGAGCAGGCCTATCGCTTTGCTTTCCGTGCATGTAAGCAATTCTAGCGACGATGGTGTGTTGGCAACGACCCTTGCAAGTAAGGATGAGCTGTGACAGCCAGCATAAGTCAGTTCATACAGGCGGTTCCCCGACCTGACGAGCACGACGAGGGGGATTATCGACGCCTGATGACACCGAAGGAAGCGGTGGTGCACCAGCAAGGATGGCCAGCCCCTACGAAGGAAAGGCAGAGGCCAGTCACCAAACCAGAGCCGCAAATGGATTTGCACAATCGCACGGTGTAATAAAGACACGAATAAAACGTACCCTGCGTCGGCCCCTGTAATGAGAAAATGGACAGGCTTGTGGGAAGTGCGGCCGAGAGCGCCGCGACAAGTGGCGGCCTAACGTGCGCATGATTTGCTTTTCAGCTCATGGCGGAGTTCGGTAAGAATTTCAGGGCCTTTACAGGACCCGTAAATACCTATCGGTTAACAGATTTAATGAAGACCTTGTGTAAGTTTAACAAATACTGACAGGCCCGAGAACGCACTTTACCTTGCTAGGTCACTGATACTACAGAATTTGGGGATTCATGATGGCAGACGGCGGTGCCGTACGATGCGTTCGTTTCCTTGGGGTGACTCCCTCATGGCTCAAGACATTTTAGAAAATCCCTTGTTCAGACAAGCACTTTTACAATTCAGTGGAATACCATTACGCTGCGCGCTTGCCAAACTACAGTGGGGATCTACTGGAGTGTGGCAAAGCTTTCCCTTACAGCTAACGTAGTTCTGGGCATCGCCCCAGGCCTGCCAGACCGCTTTGGTCGGCAGGCTAGGGCAACTAGGTTTAACTTAGGACTTGACTATAAGGTGTGACCATGGCCAGCGTCGACCGGTTCCCTTACAGCAGTGCGCCTGTGCGGCAGGTTAAGGCCGTGCAGTTTAGCGTCTGGGATCCAGCCGAAATCGTAAGTTTTGCTTTAAGCAGGCACGCTCGGACAGCGAGCTTACGGCCACCCGTCCGTGCAGAAAGCATACTCCGTCGCTGAACTTGTAACCAGCGAGACCTATGAGAAGGGAAAGGCGAAGCTGGGTGGCCTGTCGGACCCCCGTATGGGGACAATGGACCGTGGTGGCATCTGTACCACCGACGGTGCCAACGCTAACGACAGCCCGGGATACTTCGGCCATATTGCTCTGGCACGGCCCGTGTACCATATCGGCTTCATCAAAACCGTCATCCGTGTGCTGCGCTGCGTCAGTTATCACACGTCGCGGCTACTGGTTGACAAGGTGCGATGTTTGACGCACACGAGCGCGCGAGCGTGGGGGGGGATGTGCCTATGAGAGGTCCCCTCTTCAGTGCCGAGTCCCTCGCAAGGGGCCGCAGCGACCCGCTGCACCCGGCAGCTTGCTTTCGCGCTCCCAAGGACCCCGCCGATGCCGTTTGGGCGCGGACGTTGCCAGCACGCCGCCGTCGTGCCAAATCCAAGGCTCCCCCAACCCTGGCCTGCAGCTAGCGCCTCAGAAAAACTTAAGCTAGAACCACATACTGAAAACCTCCCTTGGCCAGTAACGCGCCAATGCAATGTGCGTTGACTAACTCCGCTGGCCGTGGCGTGGCGGAGCCAAGGCTCGAATCCTCCCCTAGTCCGTTTCCCGTATCAGCCCCCCTGGACAGCCCCCCAGCCAATCCAGCTAACCCTAAGTCAGCGTCAGGCCGGTCAAAACCTGTTAGGCCCGTTGCGCAACGCACAACAGAACGCAAAGACGCCTAGCTTTTTCCGTTGTAGAGCACCTCCTTTTGCTCACGCTTGTGCGCTACCTGGGACTCTTTTTACCTCCCCTGCCTTCTCTCCCGTGCATTTTATACCTCGGATCGCAGGACGACCCTAAGTACGCGTACGGCCTCCGCATCAGCGACTCGGAGAAGCGGCTGCGCTACTTTGTGCACTTGTGCCAGGGCAAGAAGGTGGACGAGACGACGGGCAACCCACAGCCGTCGTACAGGTTGGACGGGCTCAAGATTATGGCCGAATTCCCCAAGGTTAAGGGGGACGAGGAACAGGAGCAGGACAACGTGGAGCGCAAGCAGGTTGGTCGAAATGCACCTATACGGCGATGCGGGAAGGTGTCGACGGTAGATGTGCAGTGTAACGCGGGGGGCAGGCGGGCGGAGGGGTATTGGGAAGCATCCGGTGCGTGTGCGGTATCTGGTGCTAAGTGCTAAGAAACACCTCAGACTGGAGGCGGTCGCCAAAAATGCAGCCCAAAGGAGGCGGACCTCTGCCTGTAAGATACGAACAAGGGTCACCTGTGAGCTTTGTCATAGCAAGCTGGGTCGGTAGGGACCGAGGTGCTGGGGGCGAGTTTGTAGTCGATTCCTAAACCTGGGGCCCATCACATTTAGTTCGGGCTAGCGAGGGCACTTGCGGTGTATCGCGCCGTCGCCGCGGCCCCACCCCTGTCGGACGTCCTCGCCTTCACCTTCTCTGACCCTCCTCTTCCCACCTCCTTTCCACCACTCTTTCCTTGGCAGCAGCTTCAGTCGTTCGTGGTTCGTCTTTCCCCACCTCCTTTCTTGCAAACGGATGATAGCGTTCCTCTCCCTTTCCTTCGCGATTCTTGACCCACTGCTGTCTCACCCGTCGGGTTGCCGGGACTCTGTAGCCCCGAGTGGGCGCACGTCCTTATCGCTGAACTCGTACCATATGCTGGTGGCATTCTGTTCGTTGTCCCGGTCTCCCCCATGTCACTGTTCGCGCGTCTGTTTCTTACACCCCTGTAGGAGCTGACCGCTGCTCGCGCGCTGGAGATCCTGAAGCGCATTCCCAACGAGGACTGCAAGGCGCTGGGCTTCGACTGCCGCTTTACGCGGCCGGATTGGATGATTATCCAGAACCTGCCCGTGCCGCCGCCGCCAGTGCGGCCGTCCGTTATGATGGACAGCAGCAGCCGGTAAGGCATGTGGAAGCAGGGCCATTGGGCGGGTGGGAAATGCGTCATGCGGTTTGTAGACAACAGTTTTGACGGAGGGAAGGGTTTCGGCGGGTTGAGGGGAGGGGATTTGATACGAAGTACGAAGGGCTGGACGGGCTGAACACGGAGGGTTGGGCCCGCTCAACGAGGGGATTGGGAAGTTGCTGGATTAGAATCTGACTGGCCAGCCAGTGGCGTGGCGAGGGTCCGGAAGGGGAGACGGGGTGATCAGGTGGCCAGGTGACGGTCTATGGATTCATGCTCTCGACCCCGTCGCAAATGCATGGCGTACAATCGCGCATGCGTTGAGGATTCCTTGGGTCACACGCGCCCACGCCCACCCGCATACCGTTTGTGATGTGTGCCCGTGATGTGTATGTGTGTGGTGGTCCGCTGTGTGCCTGCAGGTGCGAGGACGACCTGACTCACAAGCTGGCGGAAATCCTCCGCACCAATAACGCTATCAAGAAACAGGACTCCACGGGCACACCGCAGCACGTTATTGCTGAGCAGATCATGGCGCTGCAGTACCACATCACCACCTACTTTGATAACTCCAGTCCAGGTGGGCCGGTCTGGTCAGGTCTCGCCTCAGTAGCTTTCCTTGCCTGACTCGTCTTCTTACGTCTGCCAGCCTTGCATAGATGCATGTGTGAATGTGAGGCGCTTGTTTTACCTCGATCTTGCCTGTCTGCGGTGGCGGGCCGCCGCGCGGGGAAGGTCCCCAGTTCGGGGCCCCTCATGCTGCTAGGGCTCGTGGGCTCGTCTTACTCCACGGGCCGGCCCGCCCCGCGTTAATGGCCTTAATCGATTGAGCCGAATGTCCGCGGCTTTCCTTTTCCGGCGCCGATTGTGTCCTGACTCACCCGGCTGCGGCTTGACTGCACAGGCATTCCCAGGTCCAACCAAAAGTCGGGTCGGCCGATCAAGTCTATCAGCGAGCGGCTGAAGGGTAAATCGGGGCGCATCCGCGGCAACCTGATGGGCAAGCGTGTGGACTTCTCAGCGCGTACCGTCATCACGGGTGACCCTAACATCGGCATTGATGAGCTGGGTGTGCCCTGGTCCATTGCGCTCAACCTGACCTTTCCCGAGACGGTGACGCCCTTCAACATTGAGAAGTGAGCGGCGCTTTGCGTGCGTGACGAAGCTTCGGCGGGTGGGCTTGATGACGGGACTGTGCAGGGGTACGAAAATTGAATTAAACCCCAGTATAAACTTGTACGGTTTGATTTACAAGGCCATTTATTCTTCATGTTAAGGGGTCGGACAGGGCAAGTTTCTGAATGCATGTGCCTAATATGAATAATGAAAACGGGGTAAACGAAGAAACGCCATGCGGTCGCTGCGGCAGCTCCAGCAGCGCACAAAGACCATCCACTGGTTCCGTTTGTCCTTGCAGCTACCTCGCGCAACTTCACCTTGAAAATTTGACCTTAGCGCTCGATACGCGCATCTAGAGCTGCTTTCTTACCAGTCACCTTCGTACCGCGCCGCCCAACAACGCTGATTTCCCCACCAGGCTTCAGAAGCTGGTGGATAACGGTCCGAACCCCCCTCCCGGCGAGACGGGTGCCAAGCACATCATCCGGGAGGATGGTCGCCGCATCAACCTGGCGGTGCTGAAGAGTGGGGCGGACCGCCGATTGGAGCCTGGGGACAAGGTGGGCGGGTTCCCGGGTGTGGTCGGGCGGCTGGGGTAGGGGCTGACTGGACAAGATTGCCCGGGAATCTGGAATAGGGTTGGGTCAGGAGGAAGGAGACTCCCTCTTAAGACAACTGATATCAAAAAGTGAGAAACTGCTTAAGTGCGCGCAGCCTCCCTGAGTAGCCTGGGGAAAGTTCTCCTTTTGCTTCCTTTCCATATCCTTCCCGGCGTCCCTTTTGCTTTCCTTTCCCTGCCGCTATTCATCCAACCCGTCCTTAGTTAAAAGGTTTTTTTGTGGGCGTTCCCACCGCCGACACACATACACACACTCACACTCTCACCGTGTGTTTTTGCAACGTGCTTCGCACCTGCAGGTGGAGCGCCATCTCACCAACGGTGACCTGGTGCTGTTCAACCGGCAGCCCTCGCTGCACAAGATGTCTATGATGGGGCACCGAGTGCGCATCCTGCCCTACTCCACCTTCCGCCTGAACCTGAGGTGGGACGTATAGTTATCACGCTTCTCATCCGCCTCCTAAAGGATTTGCCATAGAAGACTGGAAAACGGACATCAAGAAATTGGAGAGATACGGAGTGTGTGTTCCGCCGGTCCCACCGTATCCGGCATCTTTTCTCCATTTTCGCGTTTTTGTTCACCTCCGTGCAGCGTGACGACGCCCTACAACGCCGATTTCGACGGTGACGAGATGAACATGCACGTGGCACAGACACACGAGACACGCGCCGAGATGCGCGAGCTGATGATGGTGCCTCGGAACATCGTGTCGCCGCAGGTGGGTAGGTGGGGGACCCCGTATACGCTCCGGAACCAGTCCGATGGGCCCTATCTGCTATGTCGGTGGTCGATGGGTGAAAGAGGTTGGTAGAGAACATCCCTATTTGACGGATGGGCCTTTTGTCCCTCTTATTATTAATTCATCCCTGCCTGTGCATCCGGCTCTCTTCCTTGATTACTCGGACTCCGAACCGCATCCCATTTTCCCTCGCCCCACAGGCCAACAAGCCCGTCATGGGCATCGTGCAGGACTCGCTGCTGGGCACCCGCCTCATGACGAAGCGTGACATCTTTATCGAGAAGGACGTCTTCATGAACACCATCATGGGCATTGAGGACTGGGACGGTACTGTGCCCATGCCCACCATCCTCAAGCCCAAGCCGCTGTGGACCGGGAAGCAGGTGCGAGGGGACGGGAAAGTGGGAGGGGGATCGTGAACAACGATGTGGAAGCGCTGGGTGGTGTGGGGCCTTTCGCTTCGGCTGCTGCTTACTGCTGTCGTAAGAAAGGTCATAATGCCTCCCGACGCTCTGTCGATATGCGGTGGAGCAGTGTAGTTGCTGGGCGAATTAGTTCGCTGCTGTGACGTGCGTGTGATTGATGGCGGGGGTGTTGGTACGTAGCTGTGGTGCTTAAGGCGGTAGGCTTCCCCTGGCCCCCCTCATCCTCCTCCACCTGTCATGACCATAGCAGTTAGGTTTTCGTTAGGTCTCTGTCCGCTCCAGACTTGAACGACACAATAGACCCCTGGACTGGAGGCGCGTCGCCTCTAGCCGAAGGCGGCTCCTTTTCTTCCCGTTGAGACATAAGGCGATGAAATGACTCCCATTTTGGGGGAAGAACTTTAGGGGATGCCAACTTCGGTCGCAGTTGTACGGTTGCCCTCTACTAGCTGCGATGTGGACGACCCCTCTTGCTCAAGGTGCGAAAGCTGCTCCCCGTCATTGCGGCCGCCTCCGCAGATCTTCTCCATGTTCGTTCCGGATGTGAACCTGAAGAACAAGAGCGCCTGGTACAAGGACACGGACGTGCAAGACATGTCTGTGGACGACTCGCAGGTCGGAGGTTGCGTGCACTGCTGGTTGGGGGCTTTGGGGAGGGTGCGTGGCACCGGCGCTGGCGCTTTGACGTGTTGGCTCCAAGCGCATGGTTCAAAAGCCTCCGTTAGGCCCTCACCTTTGAGTTATTACATTGCATTTTGCAGTCACGTCCACATCTTTCCTGGCCGCACATTCCTGTTTTGCTCTCGCGAACCCGCCCAATAATCAACAACCAACCGATAAACTGACAACCAACTGGTCTCAACACCGACCCACAGGTGCTGATTCGCTCCGGGGAGCTGCTTACGGGTGCGCTGTGCAAGAAGACCGTCGGCAACGGCGCGGGTGGTCTGGTCCACCTAACTTGGCTGGAGCATGGGCCCCACGCGGCACGCGGCTTTATCAACAATGTGCAGCGCACCGTCAATTACTGGGTGCTGCAGCACGGCATGAGCATCGGCATCGGAGACACGGTGGCCGACGCCAAGACTATGACCAAGGTCAACGAGATTATCGAGGAGGTGCGTGCTAGGGCTGCTAGCTTTCGAGCCTGGGCTAGCGGGCTGGTTTTGGCTAGGCGTTTGTTGTTGAGCGCTAGTGCAAAGGCCGACAGTTGGCGGGTCTTTTGGCTGGGTGGCGAAGCGCAGATTTTGCTGGGCGTGTGGCGAGCAGGGTTTGTGTCCTAGTGTCTGGAATTCCAGTGTTCGTTTTGTCATCCCTTCAGTCTCCGACTGTATATTTGTACTCTCTTCCAGGCCAAGCGTAAGGTGAAGGAGGTGGTGGAGAAGTACCAGCAGAATGCGCTGGAAGCCCAGCCGGGTCGCACTATCCACGAGAGCTTCGAGGCTCAGGTGAACCAGGTTCTGAACAAGTGCCGTGACGACGCCGGCAAGGCCGCCTACATGTCGGTGGATCTGTCCAACAACATCATCAAGATGGTGACGGCGGGCTCCAAGGGCTCCAACATCAATATCTCCCAGATGATGGGTTGTGTGGGGCAGCAAAACGTCGAGGGCAAGCGCATTCCGTTCGGCTTCCAAAACCGGTGAGGAGGAGGAGGAGGTTCCAGAAGAACTTGTTTGTGTCGGTGAGGTGGAGGCTGGGTGGCTTCACCTCCGCCAGGGTTGAGGCGAACTTGATTATATAAATGGGGAAATAGACACAGCACGGGTTGCTATTGTCGGCACCGCCGGCCCCTAACTCTTTTCCCTTCCTTCCTGTCGCCGCCTTGTGTGCTCCTTTTGCCACAGCACGTTGCCGCACTTCAATAAGGACGATTTGGGTCCCGAGGCCCGCGGTTTCGTGGGCAACTCCTACCTACGAGGCCTCACACCGCAGGAGTTCTTTTTCCACGCCATGGGTGGTCGCGAAGGTCTTATCGACACGGCCGTCAAGACCGCCTCCACCGGTTACATCCAGCGAAGGTGGGATCGATGGCGGACGGGTGGGGCCTGCGGTAAAACGGTGGTGGGAACGAAGGGTGTTGAGTAGCTGGGAGGAGCGTTGTTAGGGCCTGGCGAAGTTATTTTGGAGGCTCTTGTAGGGGCGCCGCGCATATCCCTTCCACCTTTCCTCTCTGGGGATCTGGGTCTTCTTTTGTTGTCTTCGTCGCAGATATCATTCATATTCATTTATGAGAAGCAGCGGCAGCATGGGCAAGTAATTGTTGTACTAGCGCTTCATGCAGCTGTTTTGCTACACGGCATGCGCATACGCATGGTATATATGCACACATTTGACATACATTTGACGTACCCATGTGGGTCGTTCCTCTCCGCAACCCGTCCCGTCCGCCTGCCTTACTGCTCCTCAACCCCGTTTTCCGCAGGCTGGTCAAAGCCATGGAGGACATGGTGGTGCGGTACGGCGGTACCGTGCGTAACAGCCAGGGAGATGTCGTGCAATTCCTCTACGGCGAGGATGGCATGGATGCTGTGCGCATTGAGAGCCAGACGTTTGAGCACCTCAAGTGGGACGTGAGTACGGGGGCTGTGTGTGAAAGGGCGCGATGGAGGGAGCGTTGGCGCACGCATGAACTGCCTGAGTGTTGACCTTCCCTATCCGTTGCTCATCAGCTTTCTTTAGCCCCTGCAAAGCTCCCTCAGTTTTTGCCCCACTCCTTTCTCACTGAAAAACGGCGGCTCCTGTAAAGCCACATCTTACCGTCGTCTTCTGGGCTCAGTGTTTCCGTCTTTCGCTTACCCTAACCCCCCTCCCCTTCCTGCCATGTCCCTCGATTGTTTTCGTTTCATCCCACCAGCCGGTGAAAATTGACAAGGTGTACCGGGTCGACACCTCACGCGACCTGGCGCCCGACTGGCTGTCCAACGATGAGTACGAGGCGCTCCGTACAGACCCCGAGACGGAGCAGGCGCTCCGGGAGGAGATGGCGCAGCTGAAGGAGGACCTGCGTGTGCTGCGGGAGGAGGTTCTTACCACCGGGGATGAGAAGGTCAACATTCCGCTCAACTTGGCGAGGTTGATCTGGAACGCGCAGACCAAGTTCGGCTGCAAGCCGCACAGGTATGGCCTTGGTGCTATCCTTGGAGTATGTGGCGTATGGGTGTAAAGAAGGGAGTATGGGGTAACGGGGACGGTATCGATGTGCCGGAAGCGTGGTTTGGCTTTGACCCATTTTGCATGTTCTGTCGGTACGACGTCCTCACGCGCTGCTCCAACTTCCTACGGTTAGGATTTCCCCTGTAAGGGATATCGAGGACTTCCTTACCGAGCTAAGGCCTATTGACGCTTGTGGTCGTCGTGTCTTTCTTCCGGCTCCCACAGGCCTGGTTGGACGGGTTTGCCGGTGAAGGAGGTGGTGGTCAAGGTTCAGGACCTGTGCCGGCGGCTGGTGGTGGTGGTGGGAAGCGACGGGCTGTCCGTGGAGGCCCAGAGGAACGCTACCATCATGTTTCACTCGTGAGTACCGCCTCTTGTGGCTTGGTGGCTGCTAGGAAAAAGAGTTGCTGTGCCGCTAATGGTGATAATGCTTGCTGAATGCTGAACTACAGTGCACTTACCCCGCTTCCGAGTTTCGCTTGGCTGGGCTTTGCTTGACTTACCTTCTTTGGTAACTTCCTTACACCGTTCCTTACCATCCACACTTGCTTGTGCACGCCTCTACCTACGTTCTGCAACTCTGCATTGACGTGGCGCCTCACATCCACCACCACCACCACATCACCTCTCGTCCCGCGCAGTATGGTCCGCATGCACCTGGCCGTCAAGCGGGTGCTGTCCGAGTACAAGCTCAACCAGAAGGCCTTTGACTGGCTGTTGGGCGAAATTGAGACGCGCTTCTTCCTGGCGCTGTCCCACCCGGGCGATTGTGTGGGCACTGTGGCGGCACAATCGCTGGGAGAACCTACGACGCAGGTGGGTCATGGCTCATAGGTGCGGTATAGTTGAGGAGAGAGCGGTCCTGCCCCGCGCAATGTAATAGTGGAACCTCATGTATATCAGTGTAGTGTATAATCGTCGTGATAGCGTTCGTATCCGTCTGCAGTCTCCCGAGAAATATGGGATGCTTTTCCTTGCCATGTTTCCTTACAACTCCTTTTCCTCGTCTCTCCTGTCCGAGAAGGAGTTGAGCTCTTTGCATTTAAGCTACGAAATCCTGATGCCTCGAGCCTTGAGTCGGCTCCTAGCATTCCCCTTCCAATACTGCGCTCCGGTCCGCCTCGCGTCGCTTCGCCTCCACGCAGATGACGCTCAACACGTTCCACTTTGCTGGTGTGTCCGCCAAGAACGTGACGCTGGGTGTGCCCCGCTTGACGGAGCTTATCAACCTGGCCAAGAACATCAAAACGCCCACACTCACGGTGCACCTGCTGCCCGGACTGCGCGAGTGAGTGGGTTGGTATTGGGCGAGTGGGCTGGCGGGTTGGCGGGCTTCCAGTATGTGTAGGACGGACTCGTGGTTGCTATTGTTCTGTGCTAAAAAAGGGTCCTTTTCTATTAGGATTAGCGAGTTGGTGGGATGGTCGCAGATCATTTCTGTCCCTGCGGAGGTCCTCCTGGCGAGATCCTCCTGCACATCGAAGCTGGCCTGATCTGACCTGACCTGACGAGGCATAACCGGGCTTGGTGTGTTGTACCAGTCACCGCAATAACTGCCTTTGTTCGATAAGCTGTTTGGCATCTAAAATGTCACCGACAGGAACAAGGACCGGGCCAAGGAGGTTCAAGCCAAGCTGGAGTACACATGCTTCAAGAACGTGGTCAAGACCACGGAGATTTGGTGAGATGGAACGTGGGCGCGCAAGCGAGAGTGTGCGACCGTGCGACACTGCGTGCGTGTGTGCGTGTGTGTGTAGAATTGAAGGTCCCCCAAAAAAATTAAGTCATGCCACTCCCAATGCATGTGTGTACGTTGTATGCGCTGATAGCAAGGCACGGGTTTGAACACTAGGGGGAGTACAGGCGGCCCAGACAGCGGCCTAGGAAAGCAGGGCAAGCAAAGCTGTGTGTGCTCATGCGTATGTGTGTGAAAATGTTATTTTGTTCTGCAGGTACGACCCTGTGGATCCCGGCAACCCCAACCAAACCATTATTGGGGAGGATGAGGAGATGCTCAGCAGCTACTACGACCTGGCAGGTGCGTAGGGGAAGGTTACGCGTTTAGTTGGCAGGGTGGGTCTGGGGTTCAACCTCTTAGGGTAGCGATCGCACGATAGGATGGTTTGAGCCATGACGAGTCGATCGGTGTGTTAAATTGTATCAGCTCGCATTTACATCTTATCAGTTCGAACTTGCTATATTCCGCATATCCAACTGAACTTGCTATATTCCGCATATCCAACTGAACTTGCTATATTCCGCATATCCAACTGAACTAACTATAAATGTCGCATTCCACCAGGATTATTGTTTCTTTCCTACTCTTCCTCTCGTTCTAATACCCCTCCGCCCGTCCTTGGCTCCATTTCCGCGCCTGCCCTGCTATGTCCTATCCTCCCAGGCGAGGAGGATCTGGCGGTGCTGCCCCGGCTGTCTCACTGGCTGTTGCGCTTCGAGCTCAACCGCGGCACCATGCTCGACAAGGGCCTGACGCTGGGAGCGGTGCAGAAGGCCCTGCAGGACGAGTGGGAGGACTTCATTAACGTGCTGGTGAACGATGATAACGCGGAGAAGCTCATCATGCGCATCCGGTAAGGACGGTGGTGTGCCAGTGTCGGTCCGTGGTTGTTGGGGAGCTGTGCAAAGTACGGGTAATGTGCTTATGGGTGGGTGCTTGTGCCTGTGTGTGTTTGTTTTTTCTGCATTTGTGTTGTTTGTCTCTTGACTCTACGTTTGTGAGCTTGTACGTGCCAGCTTTGGGTATATAGGGTGGGCGGGTGGTCCGTGTGGCGGAATTGTATGCGACTAGCTAGCCGGTTGGCTGAGGTGTAAAGAGATGGGAGTGGCTTGGTGGTGTGGAGGTGTGGCTTGCAACGGGCCCTGTGCTCCCGTGTGTGCTGAAGAGTGATGAAGACGGAGGAGGCGAGCAAGGACGAGTCTGCGGATCCCACCGAGGACACGATGCTCAAGTTGTCCGCTGCCATCATGGACGTGCGACTGCATGGCGTGCCCAACATCCGCAAGGTGTTCATCCGCGCGGAAAACCAGCACATCTACGACAGGGAACGTGGCTCCTTCCGGAAGTATGAGGAATGGATCCTGGATACTGAGGGCATCAACCTGGAGCAGGTGGGCCACGACCTGGGGGTGCATGCAACCCCCCATACACCTCTTGTGCCCAACGCATGCCCGCGGTAGGGCTTGCTCCTGCGGCACGGCTTGTCTCTTTCCACCGCTTCCCGTGCGACCGCGACTTTGTTTCTGCGCTCCTCTGAATGCGCACGCCATACGGAGTTGTATGGCCAACGTGGCCTTCCGTTCTGTTAAAAGATTCGGCTTCCCTTTCCTCCCATTGAGTTTCATACCTGAACGTGCTGTCAACTGATGCCATAGACCTGTGTTAACGCTATGAGGTGACACCTCTTGATATGCCCGTCGCGTTGTTCCTGGTCGCGCAGGTGCTGGCCTTTGAGGGCGTGGACCCCCGGCGCACCATGTCCAACAGCATCATCGAGGTGCTGGAGGTGCTGGGGATCGAGGTAGGATTAAGAGATGAGGCGGCCCCTTTTAACGCATGCATGTTTTTTTCCATCGCGCCCTACCTGCTCGCAATCAGGCTCTGCACCACTTCTGTTGTCCTTCTTCTATCACCACTGGTATAGTTGCGATGCAATTGAGTAAACTACATCTCAGCACTGATGATGCCCTCATTCCCCGATGATCCCAGTGGCCGTCCTCCAACTGCCCTCCTCCGTTTCCTCCTGCCGCGGTCTCCGCTGCCAACAGGCTGCGCGTGCTGCACTGCTGAAGGAGGTCCGCAACGTCATTTCCTTCGATGGCTCCTACGTCAACTACCGTCACCTGGCTTGCCTGTGAGTAGCGCGCGACCAGCAGTCGCTACCCTGCCCGCCCTTGCTGCCCGGCCTATCTGCGCAAGCGTTCAACGCCGAACTCTACTCTTGCGCCTGGACACCTGCAATGCGTGTGGACCGTCCCGCTCAGTCCTGCACTATGTCGTTCATATCTTTTTTCGGCGCGCGCTCAACCTGCCGGGGCTCGCTTTCCCTCTACGCCCACCCTTTACTGCGTTCTTATCCCGCCCACTTCCCGCCTCCACTCCACTCCACTCCACTCCACTCGCCCCTTACAGGGTGGACATCATGACATGCAAGGGCTGTCTCATGGCCATCACCCGTCACGGCATTAACCGCAATGGGAACGGACCCATGACGCAATGCAGCTTCGAGGAGACGGTGGATATTTTGTACCGGTAAGGGGGATGGGAGCGGAGGAGGTCGCCGGGAATGGAAACGCGCAGGCCGCAGTGTGTCCTTTAACCCTTCTTGGTGGCTTTCTTGCCCCTGCTCCTGATGTTGCCCCTGATCTTGCCCCTGATCTTGCTCCTGCTCCTGATCTTACTCCTGCTCCTGCTCCTGATGTTGCCCCTGATCTTGCTCCTGATCTTGCTCCTGCTCCTGATCTTACTCCTCTGCTCATGCGTTCCTGGTGCTGACCTCTGCCGCTCTGCGCCTATCCTTGTACTGTGCGCTCCGCAGGGCGGCCATGTTTGGCGAGCGTGACCGGCTGACGGGTGTGTCGGACAACATCATGATGGGCAATATGTGTCCTCTGGGCACCGGCGCCTTCGATCTGCTGCTGGACGAGTCGGCGTTGGAGAGCGCTTTTGACGTGCAGGCGAGTGTATGTGCGAGTGCGTGCACGTGTGTATGTGCCGTTTTATGTGCTTTGCTCTTACGAACTTGCCTGCGGGCGCGAACAGGCGAGATCAACACAAAACTGATGAACCCGCTGTCGGCATCCGTGCCTAAATGCACCTCTTGCTCTCTGCTGGTGCTGCTGCCGCCGCGATCTTATATTATTATGTGTTCCCTGCCGCTGGGGTGCCAACCATCGACAGGTCGGCAACCTGGTGTTTGGCGACGATGGTCTGCTCAGCACACCGGGCCGCTACACGCCAGGCCGCTCGCCGCACCGCACGCCTGGGCCCATGTCGCCTTCGCACATGCTATCGCCCATGCATTCGCCCTTCATCGGCGGCGGCGCGTTCAGTCCCATCGTGGGCGGCGCCTTCAGCCCCGTGCATGGCAGCGGGGCCCCCATGTCGCCTGGCTACAGCCCGACGTCGCCTGGTTACAGCCCAACCTCCCCTGCCTACTCGCCGACGAGCCCGGCGTACTCGCCTACCTCACCTGCCTACTCCCCGACGTCGCCAGCCTATTCGCCCACCTCCCCAGCGTACTCCCCCACCAGTCCGGCATATTCGCCAACGTCGCCGGCGTATTCACCCACGTCGCCAGCTTACTCGCCAACCAGCCCTGCCTACTCCCCGACGTCGCCAGCCTACTCGCCAACCTCCCCGGCATATTCACCCACATCCCCGGCGTACTCGCCCACGAGCCCGGCGTATTCACCGACGAGCCCGGCCTATTCACCAACGTCGCCGGCCTACTCGCCGACCTCACCCGGCTTCTCCCCGACATCGCCGGCGTATTCACCAACCAGCCCAACTTACTCGCCCACGAGCCCGACCTACAGCCCGACATCGCCAACCTACAGCCCGACCGGTCCGGCCTACAGCCCAACTTCACCGTCGGAGCGCCCAACTGGCTCGCGCTTCAGCCCGGCGTCCCCCAACTACAGCCCCACCTCACCCAACTACAGCCCGACAAGTCCTCAATACAGCCCTACAAGTCCGCAGTACAGCCCGACAAGTCCGCAGTACAGTCCGACAAGTCCGCAGTACAGTCCGACAAGTCCGCAGTACTCCCCTACGGCAGGTGGCGGTGGGGAGGCTGGCGGGAGCGGCGGCGCTGGGCCCAGCGGCTCCGAAGCCGCCAAGCCAAGCCCCGCCTATTCGCCCACAGCGGACGTCTCCCCAGTGTATTCCCCTACCGCAGACGTGTCACCATCGTACTCCCCGACGGCGGATGTCAGTCCACCGCAGGGCGGCGCGGGACCGTCACCGCTGACTGGCGGCGGCGGCCAGGAGTACTCCCCAACTAGCGCACACTACAGTCCAGGCGTGCTGGCGGGTCTATCCCCGCCGTTTGGCCAAGGCGGAGGCGGTGGCGGTGGCGGAGGGCAGGGGACGGGGACATATAGCCCGCAACGGACCAGCCCAACATTTAGTCCATCATTTAAACCGTGAACTGATTGCGTGTGGTAGCTGCGGCTGGATGGAGGCTGGATGAACGAACGGATAAAGAGGACCGCGGAAAGGACCTGGCCGCGTTATACTTGGGATGGATAATAGTTAGGTTTTAGGGTTTGATATGCTGGTTGAGATTCCGCAGGGGGGCTGGCAAGCAGAGGGGAGGGATTTATGGCGTAGTGGGATAGCATGCTTTCGGTGTGATGGTGAAATAGTTTGGCTACGTGCGCCATGTCATGTTGGGCACCGGACGGGTTTTGCTTGCTGTTCAACGTATAGTGGTTGCAAGGGCGTTGAGGATTGTGAATTACTTTGTATTACTGGTATGGCGGGAAAGGGGGCAGAACTGAAATGCAAACCCAAGAGACGACCTGGCAGTATACGAAATTGGATGTTTCTTGATGGTACAAAAATACTCGTCGTGTTTTTGACTTCTGAGGCCTGGCAAATGGCTGTCTCGTATGGCTGAATGGGCATTTCCCGTTGACAGCTGAGGAGAACGGCAGCACATTCGTAAACTAGAGACGAAACCGACAATCTTGTTGCGGATGGGTCCGGAAATGGCAAGTACTGCTAGCCCCTACTGGTGGCTAGCGTAGCGCTCACGGCATGCGATGATTGCGTATCGCATCCGCGTTTGCAACGGCAGCAGATTGTTTAGGAGCACTCCGCTCAGTCCTGGATTTCGTGCCCGGTGCAGGTCATTAACTCTCCAACAATGCAGGTCGGGTTCCTGTGCGGGCCGGGTGTGCGCTTTTAATGGATCCGGTTTCCGTTCAGGATCCGGCAGCGTCAGGTCATTTGATGTGATGTGCACGCAGAGGCCGTGTGTGTGGAAGGGAGGATGCGGCGTGAAGGTGTGCTCGCTCCCTCCCTAATCGCAGGCAGGGAAAAGGAGAGGGCCAGGGTCGGCACTCTTCGGCAGCGGCAGCACATAAATGTGCTGCACCTGGGTCTGACACAGTGCCAGGCGGAGGTATGGAGAGGTAGCTGCTGTCCCAGCAGGTTGGGCGTCTCTCTACCAAGATTTTACAAAGATTCGCACGATTTTACAAGTTCCGCACGAATGCGTGTGTGCCGCCACAAGGGGAAGGCGGGCGGAATGGGTGAAGCGAATTGCTTGTAATAGCGGCGTTTACGTGAGGATCGCATGGGCCGCTCCACTACGAAGGGATTTCATGAAAGGAGTTTTCGATTTTGTCGCCGAAGGAAAATTATGTGCCTCGGTGTGTGTAGACACTGGAGGACACAAATCCGTTCGGATTTGGGCATGGACGAAGTACCCAGTCGCACTTAATCGGCGTTCTTTAATTCTGTATAGAATTCCAAATCTGCAAAGCATAGTCGCTTCCTACGCTCTAGACGCACCCGCCGTACAAGTTTGCTTGCACACCCCTGCGGCCTTATGTGCTCCAGCATATGCCGTATCTGGCTCCTATCACTGCCAGGTGCTGCAGTTGTAACCTGGCCTTGTGCAAACGCTGTGCATGTAGAGCCACACCAAAACGCCAAGTGCACACGACTTTGCCCTTACTAGGGTTTATAATGGAACTCGCGTAAGGTGCCAAATGCTTTTGCGGCCATGAAAACAATGCGGTGGCGTAATCCTCACACGCAGCAGGTGTCCCCAAAGCCCGGGGGCCATGGACTATATAGTGAAAGGCAATTTCGGAATTTTAGGTTTGCCTCCCAAGGAGGTTGGCTTTTGGAGGTTCTAACTGACACATGTCTGGTCTGCGAGGAAGTTGTGCAGTCCGCTACTCTGGCTTCAGCTTTCAGAGGGCCTAATCGAGGTGTTCCAATTGTTGCTGCTGTTGTTGTGGCTACATGCAGCTGTGCTCCGGGGAGGTTTCGGAGTTGGGCGCATAAGAAGTCGACGCGGCATACCCGGTGTCCTGCAACCTCCTGCGAAACACTCTGATGTCCGTCCGCATAGGTCTCTGTAATTGTGCATATCAAATGTCTCAACCGGTACACAACATCAGCAGGAAAGAACTGGAGTTGGCAGCATTTGCAACTTTACATCTGTAAACTTGACATTGCGGCATAAATCCTCCCTTTTGAAAGACCTCTCGCCTTTTTTGCAGTAGGTAAAAGAGGTAGGAAAGCTGAACAGCGCGCTAAAAGGCCTTGGCCCACGCCACCCACTGGTGTTAAAATTCGGAAGGCTAGGAGGGGGGGTTGTAGCGGGTAACGAGATTGTCCCGACAGAAACCCTCGCCGTGTTAGCATATCCCTCACCCACCCACCCACCCAATCCCCCAAATGCCCCCCCAAACACACACGGGCCCCCCCACACACGCACACACACACCTCCACACACCCCCGCCCGCCCGGCCGCCCGCCCGCATAATATTGATGAATGGATACACCACGATATATACATACAAGCAACGAAGGCAGTACGTGTACATATATGTATATATGTGTGTGTGCGCGTGTTTGTTCTCCCTCTCTTTCTCTCTTTCTCTCTATTTGACACACATACACACATGAAAAATATGCACACACACACACACTCTCTCTCTCAGCCTCAATCAGGTGACAGCTCTATCTGCCAACAATCTCAAATTGTTCCGGCCAAACGACATAGGATTATAGTAGCTGTCTTACAGTACGGCACGCCCCATCAACATAGAAACATACGCGCTAGAGCACGTTCCCAGCATCTCGGGAAGCGTTTTAAGCGGCTGAATAGCTACTACAAGTACAAAATCCACAAGCTCCATACAAATGCGGTTTGCGTTCCTGTAAAGCCTGAGGCGGCTCCCATGGACGGTCAATGGCCATATATATTATTGTGGCGCCGAGTGGGGACGTTGGCTTCCCCGCTCGCTCGCCTCGGCTGACCACCCGACCGTCTCGCCTACACCACCCAAGTAACTTACATGGGATTCAAAAGCCCACTTTGTCAGATAGGTGAGGATAGGTGAGTGGGCTTATATACGAGAATTGGGTGAAGTGGCAGCGTATCGATATAGCCACGCTGCCTTAATGCTTAATGATTTCCAGTTAATGTGCCAATATTAATACAGTACAAAGAACCATAGGGTTGCAGGATTTGCACAAAGTTCCTCTATCTTACCATTTCGGTCTGCACTCATCATGATGAATCGCTCATCGTCATTTCAAGAGCGGATTAGTGTCTTTAAGGCCCACCACCCACCGCGTCTGCTGCCAGAGCTCAGGGCGTTATTGCCGCCGCCGACGTCACCGCTGGCGGCGGCGGTGGCATCAGCGGCGGCGGCGCTAGTGCGGCCTCCGCCGCCGCCACTAGCACCGCTGCCGTAATTTCCAACTCCACCTGCATCTCCAACACCGCCGTAGCAACTGCCATATGCACCACCGGCGCAGGTTGCAACCGCCGCCGCTGCCTTGCCGCCGCTGCCGCCGGCCCCTGCTGGCCGTCTTCCTGCCTGAGATTGCTGATCTGCGAGCCCCAGTACCACCGCCGCCACGAGCGCCTCGCAATCCACTTCCGGCGGCAGCTGACTTAGCAGCTCGGCCACCCGGCGCATCTCATTCTGGGCCTTACGTACAATGGGTCGCAGCTGCAGCAGCAGGAACAACACTCCCCACACCCAGGCGATGCAAAACATGACAATCTGTTGAATGATGACGTCACTGCGGGGGTTTGGAGTTGGTGGAAATTGCGGTGGTTGGAATGGGCGAGAACTACTGGAGAGGATGCGTGAGACAAAGACACGTGATGTACGACCTTGAGGTAAATTTAGTTTCACACCTAGCGTTTGTCTGGGCTCTGTGCGACCGCGCAAGTTACGCAGATTTCTTGATGTACTGGTGTATGGTCGCTGTACCTTATGAGGTTAACCCGGGTGCAGCGGCCTTGCTTTCTTGAATGCATTTGCACGGGATTGGTTTCATCCGGGGTTGATTGATTCATTGATTCATTGACGTTGCTGTTTTCTGTAAAGACAGAGTAGTTGCCAAATTCAAACCATTGAGTACGGCTTGGCAGGGAGCACACCAACCGGTGACGTCATCGGCGTGCGATGGGGAACTGACTGATCACTGAAGGGGCTTTCAGGGCGGCCACTTTCCTTCCACCCACCCCCCCAACTCATTTCAGTTGCAGATGCCACGCCTAATGCTTCTTGTCTGTGCACACATGCTCGCAGGCGGTGACAAAGCAGGTGCGCCTGGAGGCGCTGTGAGGCCCCAGGAGCCCGGAGGACCGCAACGTGGCCAGCCAGGTGCCATATGTGCGTTCCGTTCGTTCGCTGGCCAAAGGGTACGAGTGCTGCCCTGAAGCAGCATCGGCTCTCTCTCTCTCTCTCTCTCTCTCTCTTTCTTTCTTTCTTTACGGAATATCCACAAGGAACGATGTCCTGCAAACGCACTACAGTACGTACACACCTGTACGACCCGAGCACCGAACGCAGGTACACCATGTTCAACTTCATCTGAAAAGCAAAGCACAGGGGCCGGCGGAAAGAAGCGAAAGGTGGCTGTCTAACAAAAAGGTACCTGCTAGGACGAACGCAACATACATGCAGGCGAAAGGTCACCGTCGCAGAAGACCGCAATACGAACACATGCGGCTCAGGGCGGCCCGAGGCTGGCCGAGAAGTAACGGGAGGGGGGGGGGAGGCCCAGGGGGGAAGCAAGCCTGGCCCCACACCCTAAGCCCTTCTAGGCCCAAGGGCTAGGCCCAATCCTTACCAGCCCACAGTGCGTGTCTGTTGACCCGGTGGACCAAAGGAACCCAAACTCGGTGCTGTTGAGGCCCGAGGACTCCGCGGGCTGAGTGACCAGAGATTCCACCCGCAGGAACTGGCTCTTCATTAGCACATCCAGACCGTTGCGGGTGGCCTGAAGGCGGCAAGGAAAGGGAAGGGGTTTAGGAACCCTAAGGTAATAAGTTGTTGGTGGCTCTGAGGATGGGATGGTGGGGTTCAAGCTCCGGATATCACGGGGCGGGTGGGAGTACCGTGGGGTACAAGACGTCCTATAATAGTAGTCGTCGTACGGCTGTCCAAGGTCCTCAAACACGGAATGTTTGGGTCTACTCAAATACCACAATTTGGGATAGTTACACCGTAATACAATTTTATTATTATTACTATTATATTTTATTTACTATTATTACTTATTAGCATTAGATTATATCATTTATTCATTATTCCTTATTGTATAGTTCGTACCTGATAGTAGGGACTGTCTGGCGGCTGGCACTTGGACGGCGAGTCCGCACACAGACACGAACCCGTGTGGTAGAGCAGCTCGGCTGGCTGCGTGTAGCCCCCAAACACGACACCCGTGGTGGCCAGGCGGAAGTGCACGTCATCGTGCTGGTTGGGGACCACCTGCGGTGCAGCCCCCGCATGCGGACGTGAAGGCGGGAGGGGGAGATGGCTGGGGGGTTCATAACTATGTAGGGTGGTGCAGGCTGGGCACGATGGCAGGTCTACAGCCGTACCCCGCTGCCGTACAGCATGGCGCTGTACTCGAGTCTCCACGCCGCCAGCTCTCTGGCCAGCACCGGCTTGAGCAGCTGACACAGAGCAGCGGCCCAAGCAGCCGCCACCTCCTGTACTCCTCCCAAAGGAGGGGAGGGAGAGGGGGAGAGCACACACACACACATGTACAGCACACACGCACACGTGTGTCAACAGGACGCGGCGAATGGGCGACCGAAGAAATACAAGGAGGCCGTCTGGGGTTGGATTGGTGTTGGTGTTCTCAGCTTGACGGTATGCGCTAGATTAGGGGACACACACACACACACACACACACACGCACACACACACACGCACACACACACACACACAAACACGCACACACACACACACACACACAAACACAAACACGCACAGCACCATCAGGTGGTGCTAGAGGAGGAAAAACGGTACTCTCAACTAAACTCCTCCATTCATATACCCTCACTCGTTTACTCTCCTCCTTAATACGTATGTATGTAGTACACGTTCACCGAGTCGTTTATTTTCTGTTTCCCTGACACCGCGACCTGTTAGCAAAACTCACCAGCACGAAGTACTGCACTCGGTGGAAGCGACTGCAGGAGGCGGGTCGAGTTGGGGGTTGGAGCTTTAGGTCTGTGTACGCTTCACGGTTTTAAGGTTCATAAGGGTCATAATATGCACAAGGGCGCCAACAAGGTTCATAACATACATACAGGACATGTAAAAACGTCATAATAAGCAACGCGAAGGTAGGTCGGCGTAAGGCAGGCAGCCAAAGGCACAGACAGACAGACAGACAGACAGACAGGCTCTGGTGTCCGCCTGTGTAGCGGAAGATCCCGATTGGTGGCGAACTTGGGCCATGTCGGCTAACTATCCCTTGGCCCATCCCGGCTAAGTAACTAACTAACGTTTTTCAGTTGTAAGTTTGGGGAAGGAGCCAAGGAGCCTGCCGTTACAACCCCAGCTGGCTATTTTAACCGTTGGTTAATAACCGCCGGCCGTTTCGGTAGTTATTAGAATTGCCGGCCGTGCGGACACTCACATAAGGACCACGTTGACGATGTTGAGTGTCGCGATAGGAGCCGTCAGGGCCTGCAGATTTGCAGAAAGAAAAAAGAGAATTGTTCGTCACTAAAACAATATGTCTAAAACCGTTGCCTCTCTGCTACAGGGGGCCCCAGAGCGACGGTGTACTCTGCACAGAACAGGACCGAGGTCGGGACGGGGCTGTTCGGGGTCGTCCTTCCAACAGGCGGACAGAGCTTCAGAGATTTCCCTGGTAGTGTAATACCTGATGCCGGACTTGCAAGTAGCTGTTAGCTATTAGCTGGTTCTACAGGGCGGCCGCAAGGTTCCTTGAAATACCATTTTCCTTCCTCCTCCGATGTATCTATCGGGTATAAGGAATGCCCCAAGCAGACATGATGGAAAAAATCAGACGACGCCTCCAACCAACCCCCAGGTCCGGGCCCCCACCCCCCCGCCGCACCTACCTTCAGGTTATAATACCCCACCAGGTTGACCGCAATGATCGCCGCCCCCCACACAATGAACGGGGCCACCAGCCAGTATGCCAGTTTGTGCGACTGAGTGAGGCGCCTCTTGGTGCGATCAGCAGCGCCCCCGAGAACGATGGGAGAGGAAGCGACGGGGCTAGGGATGTGGGTGCGAGCATCTGGGGCAACCTGCAAGGGCGGCGGCGGTAACGGGAAGTAGGTAGGGGAGGTAGGCAGTATGTCCGGAGTGGAAGGGAGACGGGGGCTGACCTGTTAGGACGACCTGCGGATTTGGGGTCTTCGCGGGGTGAGTTTCGGCTGTCTTGGCTTGGTCTCCGGCTGTCGTGTAACATTTGGACAGGGTTTCGGAGCGTGTTTCCAGGTTTCGGGGATTTGGTCTGGGGCCGCTAGGCGGCGGTGTGTTAATGTAAAAGTGTGAGGTGGCCATCCCGTTGGGAGTTTCAAAGCTTTGCGGGCCCCCCTTCAGGGGACTCAGTTGTCGGGGATGAGGAGGAGTGGGGCATTTGGCCCACACATCCATCCATCCATCCAGCCAGCCAGCCAGGCAGGAAGACAGACAGAGAGACAACCAGGCCCACGTACGCGCACATCGCTCATCTATGGGTGCTCACCCTTGCCCTTCGACGCCAAGCGACCAGAGAGACGACGGCACCGGACACGGCCCGCAGCCGAGCGGTCATGCTGCTGCCAGCTGCCGGGGCCGTACCCACGAAGGCAGCGCCGCCGCCGGCAGATTTGATGCTAAAATTGCCACCGCCGCCGCCACCTGCCCCGTCATACAAACTTTCAGCACAGTTGCCGGGGATGACCTTAGAGCCCAACTTGAAGGACGTACGACATCGCTGACCGGCTGCAGCACCGGCGACGACGCGGGTGCTGAAGTCCGTAGAGAGGGGGAGGACGGCGCCACCAGACAGCGACAATGACTCACCGCCGCGGCGCTCGCCACCGCCGGCAGCGGCGGCACCCTTGTAGGCGCCGTTCGTAAGCACGCCCTCGCCGTCGAGGAAGGCACCGTAACCGGTACAATTGGCGCCGCCGTTGCGGCCACCGCACGCGGGGCCAGCAGCGGCTCCGCCGCCGCCTTCGGTTGCCGCAACGGCGGCAGTGCCGTTGTCAGGAGTTAAGTCATCATCGCTGTCCTCCTCCTGGTTCGAGGCCTCCAGCTGTGGAACGGGTCAGCATGCGACGCGTAAGAAAACCAATGTAATGGTGTATATGCGTGTATATGTGTGTTGCACCTCCTGGAGTTGCGTTACCCTCCAAGGGTGTATATGACCTGGGGCCCTGAAGGGACCCAAGGGCCCCGAGAGGGCCGAGGGCTAGTAAACAGATATATCACAAAGCGCACAACGAGAGACATTACCCTACTACAGGAATCCTAAGCCGAAAGCGTGGGTAGGTGCCTAGGTGAACAGGAGGTTCAAAAAGGAACACGGCAGACGTCATCGACAACTCCCGACACCTCTCCGTCGTGCTTGGGGTCATGCCACGAACTCCACTGTTGACCTCTTTGCGCCACGTGTCCACTGTCTGGCAGAGGTGGCGTCAACAGTAATCACGACACTGACACTGACGTACTACACATGATACATCATAACTTACATACATAACTAATTACATACATATGAACACACACATACGAGCCACACGCGCACATGTGCACACGAAAACACACACGGATGTGTCGTACCAACACGCACGTTAAGGGACATGTTGGCAAGCCCCCGTGTGACGCCAATCGGGATCTGCAAGAAGACGCCGTACAGGTTGTGCCGCTTGTGAGAGTACTGGGGGGGCGAAGAGGGGGGTAGTAGAGTGGGCGGATGGCGGAGGGTGTGTTGGTGGGGAGGGGGATGGGCAGGTAAGGTCGTGATGTGAAGTGGAGGTCATACAAGTGGAGTTGACAACACGGACGCCGACTGCGCCGCAATGCTGCCCCACGTGAGACTAGCAAAAGCCCACCGGGGCGAGCTGCTGTTACAGACGTGCCTGCTGCCGCTGCGATGCGTGCCTGAGCCACTGCAGGTGATGGTGGTGGCGGTCGACGCAGCAAGGGCACCTGGCCTGTCAAGGATGGAGGTGCAGCTCCTAAGGGCAAAGCAAGGTGGCAGACACCCCCCCCCGTCCTCCTCCTCCTCCTTCTCCCCCTTCTCCTTCTCAAGGAGGAGGGAGGGGAAACGTCCCTTAATCCTGAAAAACAACCTGATCACTACCAGCAACTTGGAAAAGGCACTAACGTCGCACCCCCCCGTCCTCCTCCTCCTCCTTCTCCCCCTTCTCCTTCTCAAGGAGGAGGGAGGGGAAACGTCCCTTAATCCTGAAAAACAACCTGATCACTACCAGCAACTTGGAAAAGGCACTAACGTCGCACTCTTGCTGCAGCTGCATTAACTACAGTAGGGTGTTGGCCGTAGTTACGAGCTTTGGAGCTGCCATGCATTAGGGCAAAGCTAAAATCCTCTTCGAGTACAAATCCGAGCCCAAACTAGATTCACAACCGACATGCAAATCCCATCGTTTCCATGAAGCCTGAAAACCCACCCATTACTCCAACCCCCAACATAAACACACACACACACTTAACCCCATACCCCACAGCTCTCCCCCCTCAGCACCTGGTGCGCAATAATCCACATGTAGACGCACATGAGGATGCACAGCAGCCCTCCCTCCAGACACAGAACGATCAGCTGTAGGCGGTAGATGCTGCGACTGGCTGCCACCGTGAGCTCGACCAGCGAGTCCAGGGTGGCCAAGTACGCGGGGAAGATCACCGACACGCCGTTGTCCTGTTGTTGTGGTTATAGGGTTGGTGTTTTTGGTTGGATTAGTGTGTTGGGGATTGGATGAAGGTGGGTCGGGAGGAGTGCGTGCAAGGGGGGCGGGGTGAGGTTTCACTCAGGAGCAATGAGGTTAGGAAGGTAAATGGGACGCACTGTCGTGGCTTCCGAAAATGTTATCATGATTGTACGAACATGTACGGAACGTGCAAACGTACACGTGGAGCACAGAAAGATGGTCCTAGAGGTCGCCTCCACAAGACACATCTGCTGCTGCTTTGCATTTTGGCTTTTGGTCTGTCTGACGTTACCACTAGCAGTTCAACACACATACATATACTCATACGGCTCCAGGCGCAGCAAATATACCGAACCGCGGCATATTGTGCCCCTGGAAGGTTCCAGGATTGATTCCAACAAGTTGCGGGATAAAAATCCTACAATCGTAAAGAGGGTACTTGCGCCTCAATGCCGATGGATGGCAACGGACCAGGTTACACGAAGTCGACAAGGAGTGGATTGTCCATCAGATTCCAATGGAAGGTGATTGCCAGTGCTCAACCCGAAAATAAGTCATGGACGTCGCCAAGCTGGCACACGTGGGTTTGAGAAGTCTGAGGGTTCCCGGAAACATCGGGGGAAAGTAGCGGGATTGCCAGTACAGTGACCACGGGTGAAGCTTTAAGCCCTTTCTTCACCCAAGCACACATACATACATACACACACGTGCACACAAACGCGTGCACAGCACAAACACGTGCACACGCACAAACACACACACACATGTATAAGTACCATGTACATGTGCACAGACGCACACCCTCACGTGTATGGACCTCCAGGAGGACCAGTTGGAAAAGTTGGCTCCCCGAGCCGTTACGTTGGGACCGTTATTGACCAAGTCAAACGCCATGGACAAATAAAAGTTGCCCGCGTCCCACAGCCCCATGGTCGCGAACGTTGTACGGCGGACCTCGATGGCCGCGGCGCTGGTAATTGTACCATTAATCGTGCTGGTGTTACTGCTGCTGCCGTTATTGCCACCCGGCGCCGAGGCCGTTCGCAGCAGTTGTTGGTTGCTGGTTAAGTTCGAGTAGTTGGGATCGTCCAAATCGTAGTACAGTGTCACGTTCAAGAGCGGATCGTCCCAGATACTCTGATGCAGATGATGGTTTCGGAGCCAGCAGCCGCAGCCAAACCGAGGAAAGGAGCGAGGGCGGGGGTTCCCATCCCGGTGGGCGAGTGGGTGGTAGTGGGTAGAGGCAGGTGGGAGGTAAGTAGGCGGTTTAGCCAGGTTGGCGGACACAGGGCAACAGGAAGGGCAACAGGAATGGTTGATAGGGGAAACGGGCTGGTGGTTGAGGTAGCTGCTGGCCGCCCGAGTTAAGACCGCTCGAGGTGCTGCTGCTGGCGGTTCAAGCAGCTAAGAGGCGCAGGTCCATCACAAGCAGTACAGTATGCAGTGGAAACATGTGGCGAATGGCGCAAAACTCACGTACCTACAAGATTTTGCACAAGTGCGTGTTGGGTGTAACGTGCAAGTGCATGTAGATGCACGTGCATGAACGGTTGTGCTGCGTGCACAGCCGCCATGCTTATTTGTGGGGAAAATGAAACAAAAAAAGGGTCGCGAATCTCCAAGCGCGTGGCGCCGCGCGAGTCCCATGTCCCATGGATATGTCGTCAGTACGTGGAAAGGGGGCCGATGGCAGTAAAGGTTAATAGGAAGGACAGGCCGATCGACCGACCGCCAAAAGAAACATGCGGTGGTGCCGGGCGGTCTTGCAGCGATGATGGCAAGAGGCGCCCTGTGGGGTGCGGGGCCCCGGCAGTGGTTCACACCCGGGGAAGTACTCGGACAGAGACAGCGGACCCGACAGCCGATCCACTTCTTAGCCCGGGCATAAGAAGCACACCGCACATTCCGGCCCTTCCAACCCACCCTCAAGCCATAGCTGGCGGAGATGCGCCTCAACGACCTGAAGCCCAGGTACACGCCCAGATGCAGATCCTGGAGGCCCGGCAGGTAGGAACGGGAGGGAGGGAGGGAGGGAGGGAGGGAGGGGGAAAGGGAGGGAGGGAGCGCAGGTGGGGTTGCGTTGATTATATGCCCGGTACCCCCCCCCCCCCTTTTCTCTACAACCGACCCACCTTCATGGACTTTGTGGACTCCAGCAACTCCGAGTAAGTTGTGCTCAGCGCCTCCGACAGCGGATCTCCAAACCTTGGCAAACCCTAGAGGGACCCAGGACCCCAGGGAAAAGGTACAGGTACGAGATGCGCAGGCACAGCGAAGCACACAGCCGTATCGGCGGTTGGATGCATTCAGTGTTCGAGCATTCATGTACCGGGCCCGATGCTTCGATAGGTTCATGCAATACCGGACCAAGGTGTCCGCTGCCAAATCCAGCAGCTACCATACACACGTACCGGCACGTAGCTGTTGCCCGAGTACAGAGCCGCCAAGGTCCGGCCCTTGGTAGCGATCTCGTGAACCTTGAGAGCGGCCATTGCTGCAAGCAAAATCGTGAGATAAGAATAAAGAATGCGGGGTAGGTGGGTGGGTGAGGTAGGCAAGGCGGGACAGGGGTGCTTTCCCTGCTCGTCAGCTCCCTAACCCCCCTCACTCACTGCCTTCTATCCCATCCCGACCCTTCTCCCTCCCAATTTTCCCAGCAGCGCACTCACCCACGCTGTGCAGATCACCCACTGCCGCCTTCTGCCTCACCAGTGCAGCCAGCAGCAGCGCAAAAGTGACGGTGTGCACCACCACAATGAGGCCGACCGCTGCCAGCGTACGCCAACGAAGCCGAAGGGCAGGCTGCAGTGCCTGTGCGTACGGAAAAGGGGAGGGAAAGAGGGGGAGAAGGGCTGAGCCCTGCCGGTGTAACACACACACATACACACGCACATACACACACGCGCGCGCGCACACGGACACACAAAACTCCCGCCACAACGGTGGGCGACTTCATGAGGAGGTAAAGTTACCGTGATCTTGTGCCCTCCTCGTGCCAGCTCCTGCCTGTGGCTTAGGTTTATTTAAAGACGTGGGCTGCAAAGACGTGGGCTGCACGTATGACGACACGGCTCAGGCACCCACCATGGGACTCATCAGGATTCTGTAGAGCTTCTTGAAGCGCTTTCCGACCGAGTAATTGGCGACCACCGCCCCCGCCTCGCTCTCAACATCCTCTGTGCCGCCGTCGTGGCCGCTGCCATCGCCAGCGTCGCCGCTGCCGCTACGGCCCTTGCCGGCGCTATCTGCCGCCGCCGCTGCTAGCTCACCGCGGAAGCTGCTGCCGGCGGAGCTCCGGCCGTCGCCGTCAGCGAGTCCGCTCATATCGCCGTCGTCGCCGTTGCCGTCGGTGCCGTAGCCGTCGGCTCGGTCGTCGCCGTCAGGATTGTCGCGGGCGAACGCCACCTTTGCACTTCCGCCGCCGCTGCCGCCACCTCTACCGTTGCCAGCAGCAGCGGTGGTGTCCGTGTACGGTGGGGATGCCTGCGTTTCCACGTTCCAGGTCCAGGGAGACGCTGTATACCGTACAGGAGGCTCCGTAAGTATGCAAAAGTCCAAGGGAACGATTGTGTGGTGGAGAGCGGCATAAGTGCATGCCATATTAACGACGCGGGAGGGTTGTAACGATCAACAGGTGAAGTGCACGTGTCTATTGTCCATTGGATAGGTGATGTAGCAGTGGATCCCAACAGATTACCGGCGGCAGAATTCCGAAGGATAGAGAGGCGATTGGCACCGGTGTAAGTGCCCTTGTAGTTCACGCAGCTGTGGAGCATGCGATCTGTGGAATGGGAGTTGCTTGGCATCTGGGCTGGTGTATGAAGCTGGTGAGAGGATTCGAACAGGTGACGGCGCCTTGCGAGGGAGAACGGTTAGGACTTGGCACTAACCCATAGGACGCCCTTCCAATGATGGAGTGCTTCAGTGGTCTCACCCATTAGGCAGGGACCGTTCCCCCGGCCATAGCGGGCCAATGAGATATGTAACAATTACACACACACACATATATACACACATACACACATATATACACAAACACGCACACACAGACACACACACACACACACACACACACAGACATGCAGGTGCGCGCGTGCCGCACCTCGCAACCCGCAGACACCAGCTCCGTTGTCTGTTCCCTTCCGTCACTCCGCACCCAGGACCGCACCAGGGTGTGTCTCACATCCTTCATCTTGTTGCTGCATTTCGAGACGTTGCGCTGTGACGACAGCAAAGGGAAGCAGGAGAAGTTGGGATGGGATGGAGTAAGCTAGGGCTGCGGGGGGGGGGGTTGAGACAGACACAGGTACACGTATATTTATTTGGTGGTTAATGGATCGATGTACGTGAAGTTCGCAATTATAAAAGCACATCATTCTTACTCTATCACCACACATCGCAACTGGAAGCTGCATAAATTAACGTAGTGCGAATACCTACCATCATGCTTCTCTTGGGGCTCTGGACTTCTGGGCCCTGTCCTTGGCCCAAAGTCGCTGCAAGCACCTGCGGCGGGTGCGAAGGACTCGCCGCCACTGACGTCGCCGTCACTGCCACGACGGTCCTCGAAACCGACCCCGACACAGGCGTCGTCGAGAGCCCATTGCCCATGGGCTTGCCGATCGCCGCGAGTCGTGGGTTGCTGATGCTCAACTCCGTGCCGCGATCGCCGCCGCCGCCGCCGCCGCCACGCTCAGGTGCCGTGTCGACTGACACGTTACTGAACATTGAATCCGGATCAAACGCCGCTGCTGTGGTGCCGTCGCTGACGGGTACCAACTGGACCGGGCTGCTGGCTGCTGCGCCGCTGAAGCCGCGCGACAGCGCAGCCGGCACCTCGGCACTGCCTTCGAAGCGAGCTGTCGTTCTTGGTTTATCAACATCTACGTCGGCAACCGGTCCTGCCACTGTCACCGAACCACTGGACAGCCGTGGTGGGGGTGCTGTGCCGTTGGCAGCGATGTGGCCGCTTCGCAGCACCGCTATCCGCAACGAAGGCGACGCCAACGGAAGGTCAATATATGGTGGCAGCGGCGGTGGCGGTTCACCCGCTGCCGCGGCAACGTCGCGTGGTACGGCATCCGAAGGCATCTCCGTGTGCAGCGCGACGCAGCCACCCGAAGCCGTTGTCGCCGCCACCGCAACCGCAGCCGGTACCGCACCCGTCAATGATGACGAATTACTTGCCAGATCCACGCCGTTGGGGACGGGGTACAACACAGGAGGTGATGCGGCGCCGGCAGCGGCGGTGCCGCCGCTGCAGCGGGCGGCAGCCACACGTCCCAACGAGGTCACGTGGGGCATAATCATCCCCCTGCTGTTGCTAATGCTGCCGCCGCTGCTAGCAGCGGTGGCCGCTGTGTCAGCGCCGGCTGCCACCATAAGCCCGGCGGCGCGACGGGTGTTGGGCATCAGCCCCGACACGTCACCGTCGTACAGCCACCGCTGGAAACCCAGCTGCACACAGGTGGGAGCAGAAGGCCGTATAACAAGGTAGGCACTGCCGTACGGTCCCGACCGCCGCACTGCCGTCACCTGCACGTGCATCGCACAGCCGTCGCTCTGGTGCCGTACGGTCACGACAGTCGTACCCCCTAGCCTGGCTGCCCGCGCAGCGCGCTTTTTCAGCGCACCGCGGATCGCCGAGTCGGCAGCGGCGGCTCGTGGGGAGCCCGTATCCAGCAGCGCCGACACGCCACCAGCAGGAAGCGTAAGCAGCTCCGAAACCAGTGTGCCTGTGACTGCCGCCTGGGCTGTGCCTAGAACCAGACCTGGCCAGCCAAGAGAAGAGTGGAGGACAGGAGGGACTCAGCCTAACGTCTTCTAACCTGACTTGCTTTCCGACCAGGTCCGTATGGGCGGTCAAGCCAGGGCGGCTAACACTGCACCAAAATGGAGAGAAGCCCATCGACGACGGCAATGACGATGATGATGATGACGATGATGATGATGATGAAATGGTGATTCAGACGATGGGAACAGCGCTGCTTTTCTCAGCTCTCTCTTCGCTAGACGTAAACTAGGCCCCTCACCTGCTTGCCCCAAAGGGCACATTCCGTCGGCGCGGAGTACTTTGCCCTGGTCGTCTACCTCCAACACACCAGACAGTAAATCCGCACGCCACAGCTCCAACTCGAACACAAGACTAGGCGGCGTCAGGCCCGCCGCCGCCGCCGCCGCCGACACTTCCGGCGGCAAAGCGTCGCCATCCAGGAACGCAGTAGCCGCCGGTAGCATTCCTATCTTGTCGAAGGAGTCGACGGCGGAGTCGGCGGCGGCGGCGCTGCCACCGCAGCCGCCACGCTGCATGTACCGATTGCTGGGTTTGGTGGCGGACGCTACGCCGGCTGCGACGAAACTACTTCTGCTCTGCCGTGACGCCGACGGTCTATCAGAGCCCCGACTGTAGTACGGCCCAACATGCTGCCGCGCCAAGTGGATCACGGATCGCGACGGCGACTGGCTTGGCGGCGACCGAGCCGCTGGCGGCGGCGGCGCCAGGGATGTGGCAAGAGCCCCAGAGCTCGACTTGAACGGCGTCTGTGGCTGGTACTGGCGCGGCGGTGACTGCGGCGGCGGCGGCGGCGGCGGGGTCGACGAAGAAGGCCTTTCCGACATCATCTGCTGCTCCTCCGACTGAGGCAGCGGCGGCGATAGTGATTGAAGCTGCTCTTGTTGCTGTTGCAAACATGGCGACGTCCACTGATAAGAGGGACCCCTGGACGCCCCTGCCGCCACCGGCGACTGGAGCATCGGGCAAACCGCTGCCGCTGTACTCGTAAAGCTCGGCCGCGGCGTCACGTTGACAGACCTGGAGCCTGCCGTACTCATACTAACCGAACCCGTCGCCAGCCGTGTGGCATTGGCGCGCTCGACGGCGGCGGCGACGGCAGCCGCCAGCGCAGTGGCGCCGGCGCCGGCAGGGCTGCCGGCCTCCAACGACACCCCGGGCGGCGTGGAGCGGGGGCTCAACCTCGTCAGCGGCGCCGTACCTCGCACTGCCGCCGCCAAGGTTCCGGACAGCGAGTCTTTGGCCAATTGCACCGCGGCTTCATCCAAAGAATTAGCTGCATGGGGTGGTGTCGTATGATTGAATGTAATAAGATGTGATTCTTAGGTAATTAATGGCGGTGGATGTGGTACGACAAGAGTTACGGGCATGGTGTCGCGCCAAGGATGTGAGGACGCCAAGAGCGGCAAAGGCTCGCGGGGATGTGGGTTACCCCCGGTCACCAAGTGGGACTTCAAGGCCCCTGGGAACTCACTCAGTTGCTCCAGGACGGCCTCGTCCTCCGCATTCAACGTGCATGCCGCAGGGTCACAGCCATCGGGGTGCTCTGTCGCTTCTGCGACAGGACCCATCCACTCTGGCACAGCCCTCTGCCACGTCGGCCCGCCGCCGCCGCCGCCACCGCCGCGGCCCAGGCCCCAAGGATGGTCCGCCGCAGCCGCAGCCGCCACCGGTGCCCACACGCCGTGCGCCGACGACGTCTCCAAGCTTGTTCTCCTGACCACGGAGGCCCCGCCGCCGCTGCTGCTGCCACCACTGCCGACGGGGGCGGCGGCGCCCAGACGCGGCGGGGTGCGCATATCCGTCGTCGCCGGCTGCAGTTGGAAGCCGTCACCGCCGCCAAAGCCGTTCAGATAGCTGTTACGTGACACAACTGGCGATGGCAGTACCAGCCGTACATCGTTGTTCCGAGTCTGTGACCGTCCAAATGGCGGCGGCGGCGCCGCCACCACCGCCGCTGCCGCTGCCATCGGCCCCGGGTACGGCGCCACATTGGTGGTGTTGCCAAGTCCGCTGCTTCTACTATCACGTCCGCTGCTTCTACCATCGGACGGTGGCGCAGCCTCGCTGCCGACGCTGCCGCCATACCCGCCGACGTCAAGCCGCTGCCACACTGGAACCCGCCGCGCTCCTTCTGCCACCTCGGACACTAGGTCGAGGTTGTTGTGCGGCTGCGCCTGCGTTGCTGCCGGCTGCACAGCCGCAACCAGATATCCGCCGCCGTTCCTGCGGTACACGCCCATACCCGCCTCGCCATTTTTTAACAAGTGTTGCTGCACGCCGTGTCGGAGGTCACCGTGAAATACGTCAGCAGAATCAATGCCTGGGCCCCCGCCGCTTCCGCTCCCTCCGCCGCCGCCGCCGCCACCGGCCCCGCCTGACATCATCCCCAGGTTCGAATCGCTCGCCAGACGGGCAGGCCGTCGCTGCTGCTGCTGCTGATGGTGATGGTGATGCTGCCGTCGACTCTGCATGGACAATAGTGGCGACTGCCGCCGCGGTACGAGGCGCAGCCGCATGACGGCGGGTACAGCATGCGTACCCGTCAGCTGGGCGGCGAGCGCCAGCTCCTCAGGGCCAAGAGCGCCCACTGCCGCCAACTGCCTGAGCTCCCCTAGGGTCACCGCATCCGGGGACGTCTTGACGCCCACACGCCAGGAACAATCGGTACTCTCCCTGCTCCTAAAGGCGTTTTTATAGGACGTCATCGTTTATGGAAGACGGGCGCAGACCAAGACATTCATGCGCTGCCAAAAATCTCGCGCACAAACTCACGCAGCATGCAAAAAGCAAAATAGAAAACAATAAAGGCAGGAAAAGAACATGTGTAAAAACGCGAGGCTTACCTCTTGGCCAGATGCAGGAGCAGACGGCTCAGTCGGCGGGCAAACGCAGCCTCCATACCATCAGCTCCCCCCCGGAGACCGGCGCGCGCCGGCACCCCGCACGGACCGAATGGTACGTCCACACCCATGTCCATGGCACCAACACTCTTGCCTCCGATGCCGGCCACCGACGCCTGCTGTTGCTGCCGTTGCTGCTGCTGGGGCGGTCGTGGATCAAAAGCAGCGACTGAATTCTGTAGTTCCAATGCGGCCTCGTTGTACAGCGTGCCGTCCTGCTCGAAAAGGTCAACGAGCTGGGAAATACACGAACCCAACAGACCCCGTGGGTCGGTCCCAAAAAGCTCTGTGGGCGTGGCGCTGTCGACGTCAATAATGGTGCCCTGAAGGTCAAGCGTCAGCTTCATGCGCCGTTCCGCAATCGCCTGGTGGCGTTGCAGGGATTTGGATTGTCGGTATGGAAGCATATGGAGCAATGGAGTTAGGGTTTTTTATAACTCTCCTGCCTGTAAAAACACAGCTGGAGGTTCAACAAGGAGGTATGAAGGGGTTAAGAAGACGAACCACTGGCGAATGAAGCAGATACCAGAAATAGACGGATAGTCCAAGAGAAGACAAATGCTGCAGGTATGAAGGGGTGAGGCATGGAAAGGGCCGGGAAGGCTGGTGCAGCGTACGTAATTGGCTTTGATTAGCACGGCCGATGTACCCGGAATAATGCCTTCCTTTTGCTACTTCTGTTATCTATCTGTTATTTTATATGCGTTCAAGTGGCCCAGAAGCCTCCCACGGTGTTTTGACACCCCATCAACAACAATAACAACAACACTTAGTTCGGTTCGCAGTCTTCTGCGCCGCTGTGTTGCCTAGCTAGGGGCTGGAAGAGCGCCGCGGCTGGCTGAGTAAGGGAGTGAGGCGCGCGCGGAGGAACAGACGGACGTAGCCGCGAGCCCGCCCCTGCGCTGTGTTTTGGCCCGGTCAGGGCCCCTCTCCCGGGACGAGCCGCCCATAGTGTAACACCCCATCATCAACAACAACACCTTCTGTTATCTATCTATTTCGGCAAACCCTAAATGCCCTCACCTTACACCTTGCATCTTGTGCACACGCCCGAAAGCAGCGGAACTGCGGAAGCCCCCTCATGTATCTCACAACGCCACGCGGCAGCCTAGCCGGTACGACAACAAACAAATACGTACTACAATATCGTACACGTACCTCCTCCAACGAGCGTGGCGTCAGCGACGCCACGTGGATTTTGGATCCACCGCCCTCCGCCAGACGTTGCACAACCGATACCGTAAATTGCTTTACACCGAAACCCAACAATTCGCTGTACGAGCTCAGGCTGACTGCCAGTCCGCTGCGGCAGCTGTACGGCGGTGGCTTTAACTGTGGGTTTGACAGCGGACCGTACGACTGCGGGTTTGACAGCTCCTGCAGGGGTGTAGGGCCAGGACTGACATGAGCAGGCAACCCTGCCCGAAACTCGCTTGCTTATCTTCCCGGACCTACTGGTCGAAACGCCGGGCGGCGCCAGGCGCCTTCTCGGTTGCCTTTTTAGGCAACATTAGGAGCATCACTAATACATCTAACGCTGAAATCCCTCGAAAAATACCCGCAGGATGACACGAAGATTCACCACCCGGCAAACAAAATGTTTTCCCCTGTAAACGGGATGAGAAATAAAACAGGAGCACGGCCCTTCCTTCCACTGCAGCCGAAGCGTCTACCGTTTCCCAAGCCCCCCAGGCCGCCCCTCACATCCCCATCCTCCCATCGCCTTTTCACAATCCACTCCTCACTACCCTTTTCCAAAATTCCTGCTTGACCCGTACCACCAACCAATTATCTGTAATATGCAACATTGGCCAATGCCATATAGCCCCGCCCAATCTCCCTCCTCCCGCCCTCTCCTGCTCCCCCCCACACGGACCTGCAACCAAGGTCCGTGAATGACGCTTGCAGGCTCAGGAATTAACAGATCCAGAACCCCCGCACGGATGCTTTCCACGCTGCGTCCAAGAGCCGCCGCCAGAGCTGCCGTCGCGTGCAGCACGTGGCCCTGGTGGTCAACCACCAACAACATGTCGTGGTAGTATGGATCCGGCAGGCGGCCGTTGTACGGACCGTACGACGGCTGTACGTTGGCGCAGCGGCGTAAGATGACCGAGTGCATCTGGACGGAGCCAATCGCTACACTCAGTGTTGCGATGGTGGGTTGGGGTGAGGGGTGAGGTGCGGCGTAAAGTTTCAAGTTTCAAGTTACAAATTTCGCACACACGAGCGGGGGTGTATGCAAAAGCCAGGGGGCCATGCGTAAAGGAGCATGGACAGGGAAAAGACCCAAATAGACAATGCCGTGCCAATTCAAAACCGGGGCGCCATTTGTCAGCCATGTCATATCTTGCCAGCCTTACCGGTTACCAGTGTACAAAGAACACGCTGCGTCATACTAGACTCCCATCATTGGTACACCACGTCCTCCTATCAATCCCCGGCACATCCCACTTATTGGAAAACTATAACCTAAAGCACTCCTATGAACTTGTCTTACCTCCGGGATGAATGAACGTGTCAAACTCTAGAGGGGTACAAAACTTGTGACGCCAGGCTGCCCGCGGCAACACCAGCGGCGGCAGCGCACTAATGCCTGCCTGCAACTCGCCGCCACCGCTACCACGAGGAATGTGGGGCGACCCGTGGGTCACTGGCAACAGCAGCTGCATCGCCGGCTCAACAAGGGATGCACGTCGCAGCCAGCCCATTCCGCGAGTTATCTCTTTGGTTGCTGCAGCGGTGGCGGCGCTGGCCATGTCGCCGCCGGTGGCGCCGCCCGCCATTCCGCTGCTGGTTAGCGGTAGGTATGGCGAGGGTGACGGCAAGGCCATGGCAGCGCCCGTGAGGCCGTCCACTATTCCAGCCATGTTGGACGAGTGTCGACGGTGGCGAAGGAGGTGGTGGTGGTGGTTGGCGGAGGGACGGGCGTGCTGGGCCCGGTTCCAGCCTTTTATTGCCCTGAGGACAGGTGTTGGGGGATGAGGGACCCTAAGTTACTGGGGAGAACATGAGGATCGCATGTTTTGGCCAATCTCCCGTGCGCAAACGTCCCCAACCCCACTAAAGAGAGAGGGGACAGTGGAGAGGGAACATTGGAGATGACTCACACCGTCCCCTCACCACCGTCCCATTGGACGATTTCCTCTCCGCCTCCTTTCCTCCCCGCATCCTTCCCCCCACTCACTCCCGCACCGCCTCCTTCTCCACGAGCAGCTCCTCCAGCAGCTGTCCCGCCAGGTCCGTGGCGTCGTAGCCTAGCCAGTCGCAAAGCTGCCCGTCAGCTGCCACGACGCGCCCGTTACCCAAAATCCACAGCCGGGCGTCGTCCGGGATGGCAGGCAGGGGCTGTGCACCAGAGCACGGCGGCCGGCCGTGTTCCACCAGTGGGTGGGTAGGTGGGTGGGTAGGTGGATGGTTAGGTGGGTGGGTGGTAGGTGGGAACGGCCAAAGGACTTACAAGCCCGCACTTACCTGACATCCCGCACGCACCCCACAACCCCATACCACACACCTCGGACCTCACCTCACCTCACCTCACCTCACCTCACCTCACCTCACCTCACCTCACCTCACCTCACCTCACCTCACCTCACCTCACCTCACCTCACCTCACCTCACCTCACCTCACCTCACCTCACCTCACCTCACCTCACCTCACCTCACCTCACCTCACCTCACCTCACCTCACCTCACCTCACCTCACCTCACCTCACCTCACCTCACCTCACCTCACCTCACCTCACCTCACCTCACCTCACCTCACCTCACCTCACCTCACCTCACCTCACCTCACCTCAATCATACCCAGGAATACGGAGTCCTCGTTCAGTCCGGAGACCCTGGTGACGTGCAGGTGCACCTGGACGACCTTGCGGGCCTTGGTGACCACCATCACCTCCTGCTGCTTGCCCATCATGGTCGAAATGCCTGAGTGGTTGGTAGTGGAGGGTTTGGGTAGTAGAGGGTTTGGGGTTCGGTTTGGGTTGTTAGCAGGATTGGGGAAGAGATGGAGTGAGGGCCACAGGCGGATCAATGTAGTGTGTGAGCGTGTATATGTCCTGGGTGGGGTTACGTTTGGTTTTTTTGGGGCGGATGTTTTTCAAGATTACACCAGGCAGAGATAAAAAATCCCAGCCCAAAGCCCAAAGCCCCAGCCCAAAGCCTAGCATCCCTGGAAATCCAATCGACGCCGTCGTCGTCGTCGTCGTCGTCACCCTTAAGCGTTTCTGGAGGAGATCGGGGGAGATGGGAGTCTGCCACCACCCCCTGCCGTGAATCCCGTACCACACAAATTCCCCCAGATTAGATAGCATCAGTGCCTGTGTCATTAGCAGTGTTGCACATGCGGTTGCTCTTGGGGGCTGAAATAGATCCGCAAAACAGCCCCTTTTCCCCTTTCGCCCGTTGGACCCTCTCCCTCCCCCCACCGGCACACCTCACCTGTGTGTACGTACTGCCGTACATAATCTGTGTGTCGCTCCGAAAAAGGATGTGGCATGATGATTCCCAAGTCCTGGAACAGGATGATGATGAGGCGGTGACGGCGGCAACGGTTTTGTGCCGGCGTGTCTGTGTGTGTTTGTGTGATTGTATGCATACATGTGTTTGTGTGTTTGTGCGTGTATGTGCGCGTGTGTGCGTGTGCTATGTAATTGGAGTTGCCGCAACGTGGCTTGACGCTTCTGAGCACGCACGTATCCAGCCCTAAGCTCCCTTGCCTCTTAGGCGACAGCTGGAACCCTCACCCGCACAATTCAACGTCCCGCCTGACCCCTCACCCTGCCCTTCAGCTCGGCTTTTCCATATCCCAGCAGCGTGTGCATCTCCGGGGAGGCCACTTGGATCTGGCCCTGTGCGTTGATACAGATGAAGGAAAGACCCTCCATGGCGGATAGCCCCGTGTGACCGCTGGTGCCTGTGGAGGTATAGGGGTGTGGAGTAGGGGTGTGGTGGAGGTAAAGGCGGACTAGGGATACTAAGGCGGTGGGGACTGGCAGCACATCAATGAACAAGGAAGGAGTTCCGCCAGGCGGCGTAAGTCTTAAATAGAACAAGAGACAACACTGTAATCAAACTCCACTTTGGATCTAAACCGGCTGCCAACGCCAGCCAAAAACAAAAACCCACCATGCAGCAGCAGCGCCTCAATTCCGCCCAGCTGCATCGCCTCCTTGGAATGCTCAGCCTCCTCCTCCAACTTGTCAGCCTCCGTGTACCACTTGGCAGCGGCCCATGGGTCGAATTTGACCGTCTCGAGGAATTTGCCATACAGCCGTACAATGCGGGCGCTGCTGGCGTGGCGGACCAACACGCTGCGGTACGCACGTTCCGCCGCTTTCACGGTCACCTGTACGGTACGTACATACGTCAAGGCCGACGTGGCGTGAAGCCGCCGTCAAGGTCAAGGTGAGAAGAGGTGTGGACGATGGAGGTGGCTAGAGGGACGGTCTCCGTTCGTAAATGTGTGTCCTTATGGAGGGAGGGAGCAAGGCGATCTGTCTGTAGGTGCATGTCTTTTTACACTCTCATCAGCTTATCTGTAATTGCACATTTAAATGTCCGCATTTGACATACGTACATACACATCATGTTGGCATTACCAAGGCACTCGACACCCCAACACCCGCGTCCCTATACCCCGTTATACCTCTATCTTGTTAAGCGCCTTGCTCAGGTTGTTGAAGTCTACCCTGGAGCGAAGCAGCAGCCCCCAAAAGGCCCTCATGGCCAAAAGGGCCTCCCGATGTGCTCTCACAACCAACCGGTGGTTGCGCTGAAACTCCACATAGCTCACGAGGTCGACCGCTGCGTCGCCGCTGTTGGCGCCGCTGGCCTTCTGTATGTGCTCCTGTTCGCGACTGAAGATGGCGAAGTGCTGCAGGGGACCTAGGGGCTGCTTCTTGGCGTTCTAAAGGGCCGGCGGGGGGAGGGAAAGACGAACCACGAACAAGTGAAGCTGCTGCCAAGGAAAGAGTGTACAAGGAGTAGAACTCACCGAAAGGCGTTTACGACGGGGAAGGGGGTGAAATTGAGTTTTCGGAGTGGTGGCGGACGTCTCATCCTTGTGCATATACACATCAAGAAATGCACACATGATTGTGTGAAGTAGGGGGGGTTGGGTTCATTCACCCGTGGCATCTAGCCCGTGGCAGTCCCTACCTTTCCCCGGGTTGTTCCGGGGCACCCTCATCCTTCCCACCCATGCCAACTTCTGCAAAGCCGGTGACCTTTTCGGGTTCATCACCCACCGCTAGCATCCAGTGGAATTTGCTGTCGGATCAAGTTCAGTGATAACTCGACTACTAGCTGATCGGCTCTCCCAGGAGGTCACCAGGTAACAGGGTCCATCACCATTCATCGGCATGGAGGGGACTTACGGCCTCTTACTTTCCTTTGAGCGCCTTTCATTTGTCGCTCGTTGGCAGAATTGAGCCTGGAACTTTCCAGGGACGCACTGCTGTGCCCTTAGTATATTTACTGTATCTTGAGCCATATATATAAATGCATGTCTACACACATACACAAAATGCACATCATACACGCACACATGCGCTCAAACTTTGGTGAAGTTACTCGTCTGCCATCCTCACCAGTTTCTTCTTGGGGCTGGTACTTATCACACACGCCCCACACCCCCACACCCGCACGCACCTGCAGCTGCGTGTAGCCTGACTGGTAGCTTCCTTGGACGTCAATCAGAAAAGACGAATACAAGATAATCATCTCTGCACCCACAAAAAGGGAGAACCATGACAACAATATCCAATACCAACAATGACCAATACCAACAACCACCAATAACAAAAGGGCGTCACACAAGTGTCAGTCTACACTGTGCACACAAAAGACAAGAAAACGGGGAAAAGGAAAAAAGGAGCAAAAAGGTGGCGTATGCAAATGCACAGCACACGCACATACGAATGGAAAGAGTATGGGCGCGCAGATCTTTCAGGAGAGGCATTACCAAACCCACAGAAGCGAGTACATCTCCGTATCTGCCCTCCTCCCTTTCAGCCCTCACCCTTACCCCTCCTCCTCTTCCCATCCGCACTCCCTATCTCTCCCTGCCCGTTCTCACCCGCCCTCACATGCACCCCCACCCCACCCCCACCCCCTTCTCATGCGCCATCCTCCCACTCACGTGGGTCCTGCGGCAGCTGCATCATTCCCGCCTTGATGATCTGCTCGCTGAGCGCCACCGCCTCCGTGTCCACCGTGTCCTCATCTTCCCAACACCGGCAACACCGAGCAGCGATCTCGACCTCACGCGCGTCCGTGAAGCGATAAATGGACCTTGAGTTGGTGCCCGGCGCCGCATCCCTTGGGGGAGGCGATGTGGGTGTGCGGGGCAAGGCGATGTGGGTGTGCGGCGGAAGGGGATGTGGGTGTGCGGGGCAAGGCGATGTGGGTGTGCGGGGCAAGGCGATGTGGGTGTGCGGGGCAAGGCGATGTGGGTGTGCGGGGCAAGGCGATGTGGGTGTGCGGGGCAAGGCGATGTGGGTGTGCGGGGCAAGGCGATGTGGGTGTGCGGGGCAAGGCGATGTGGGTGTGCGGGGCAAGGTGATGTGGGTGTGCGGGGCAAGGCGATGTGGGTGTGCGGGGCAAGGCGATGTGGGTGTGCGGGGCAAGGCGATGTGGGTGTGCGGGGCAAGGCGATGTGGGTGTGCGGCGGAAGGGGATGTGGGTGTGCGGGGAAGGGGATGTGGGTGTGCGGGGCAAGGCGATGTGGGTGTGCGGGGCAAGGCGATGTGGGTGTGCGGGGCAAGGCGATGTGGGTGTGCGGGGCAAGGCGATGTGGGTGTGCGGCGGAAGGGGATGTGGGTGTGCGGGGCAAGGCGATGTGGGTGTGCGGGGCAAGGCGATGTGGGTGTGCGGGGCAAGGCGATGTGGGTGTGCGGGGCAAGGCGATGTGGGTGTGCGGCGCAAGGCGATGTGGGTGTGCGGGGCAAGGCGATGTGGGTGTGCGGGGCAAGGCGATGTGGGTGTGCGGGGCAAGGCGATGTGGGTGTGCGGGGCAAGGCGATGTGGGTGTGCGGGGCAAGGCGATGTGTGTGTGCGGCGGAAGGGGATGTGGGGCAGTCCCGGTTAGATTCTTGCAAAACCTCACTTAGCCACAACAATCCCGAAAGCCCCAGCACAACGTGCTCATAGCACAACATCCACACTCTGGCGCGACTTTCTGGTTGTGGCATTTGGCGGGTTGTAAAAAGCGGAGCAAGATGCGCTACCTCATGATACCGGTTGATACCAACAAGGCGCGCAGGCAGGAAGCAGTCAGGCGAACAGCAGGCAGGCGTGTGAGCAGTCAGCAAAGTTGAAAGGATGAACCCAATTGCGAACATAAACATCATAAAAATAAGCAGCGGAGATTTGAGGCAGCAAGCAACCCGTCACGAGGACTGATTCCATGACCCACCCACCCAACCGCCATCCCACTCACTCGGGGCCTTTCCCCCCCTCCTCTCTCTCTCTCACACACTCACAGAGACACACACACACGCACATACAGAGGCAGCACCCCCGCCGGTCGCTAGATCAGGAGCATAATGCGTTTGGACGTAAACTGCTCGAGTTGTGCCGGGTTTCAGAGGTTGTCATTCTCAATGGGCGGGCACCGGGTGACACTGAGGGCAGGCTCACATACGAGTCCAGCCGGGGGGGAGGCAGCATGATTGACCTTGTGCTTGCGTCCCCTTCTTTGTACCCGTGCGTGCGTTCCTTCCGTGTCCTGCCACAGCAATCTTTTTACCGTGAAGAACGCCGCTTGAGTGATCATAACCCCGTGTCCCTTCACCTCGCGTCGGTTTGGAGGCCGGACCGGCCACCCACGCGTAAACCCAAGCCGACGTTTCTTGTCTCTGAGGCGCACAGGTACACAGACATGTTCTACAACCCGGAGGCCCCCCCTGTGGTTGGTGTCCGGGCGGTTGTGGATTCCCTGCGTGCTGGCCAGATTGGTGTCACCCAGGCGGTGGACACTATCGAACGGATTTTGCTGGGTTGCTTCGGTGATGCCTTCAGGCCCGGGCCGGTTTCTAACGGCAAGGCGGCGTGGTGGAATGATGAGTGTGCTGCGGCTAAGCAGGCCATGTTGCAGTATCGGTCTGATGTGATGAAGTGGGGGTGTGCTGCCCCGGCTATGGGGCATACGAGTTTTCAAGAGTTACGTCGTCAGTTTAATCGTGCTAAACGTAACGCGCGACGGGATCACCGGCTGCGAGCCTTGGAGTCATTCATAGCTACATGCAAACGGGATGCGAAGACCCTATGGCAACGTCTGAACGGTAAGCCAGCGTCCAGATGCAATGTGGAAGACGTGTCGGAGTGGACGGACTACTTCGATCGCCTTTATAATGCCTCAGCCTCCTTCGATGAGGTGCAAGAGGCCCGTGTCTGTGCCATTCTCAACTGTATCAATCTCGGTGCGGGCTCCCAAGTCGGGGCGGCGTGGCGTGATTCCGAACCGGTGCATGCTAGACGGTCTATGGCCGACACTATGAATGGTCCGTTCACTCTTGAAGAGGTTGAGGCGGCTTTGTCGTTCCTGTCTAATGGGCGTTCCCCGGGTCTGGGTATGGTTCCGGCCGAGTGCTACAAGTATGCCAAGCGAATCCCTCGTGAAGGTGACGAGGACAGGGTGTCTGTCAATGTTATTGCCCCTGCGATTCGAGACCTTTTCCAGCACATTTGGGATACAGGGGATGTGCCTGACCAGTTTTGCGTGGCGTCTCTCAGTCCGTTATTTAAGAAAGGCGACCCCAGGGTCAAGGACAACTACAGGGGTCTAGCTGTGGGATGCGCCATTGCCAAATGCTATGCCACGGTTCTCGACAGGCGGCTGGCAGCTTTCGGGGATAAAGATGGTGTCCGGTGCCGTTTTCAGGCTGGGTCCCGTCAAAAGCGCAGTACAGTTCATCAGTTGTTCGTTGTTCGTCATCTTAAAAGTCGTTATGAGCGGCCCGGCAGCAATCAGGCCCTGTATGCGTGTCAGGTGGATTTTGAGAAAGCCTTTGATAGAGTGCCCCGGGCAAGCCTGTGGCAGCGTCTTGAGGAGAGGGGTGTGCATGGACCCATGTTGACGGCCCTTAAAGCCAGCTACGAACGTGTTCTCCAACGGGTCAAGGTTAACGGTCGCCTAGGGTCCATCTTTGCCTCTCTGCAGGGCGTGAAGCAGGGGTGTCCCATGAGTCCCAATTTGTTCGGGTTCTTCATTGAGGTTATTGCCGACTACCTTGAAGCGAGGGATGGTATGGACGAATGGTTCAACACACGTGCACACGAATGTCCTGTCATTAATGATCGTCGGTTACCTCTGTTGTTCTATGCAGACGACCTTACTTTGTTCGCGACCTCGTTGGCACGCCTCCAGTTCTCGCT